TTTAGCAATGCTAATGTATTGTTTAGAACAAAATTTGTGGACGGATCTTCTGCAGTTACTAGAACTACTTGTAATCAAACATAAAGTTAATATTAAATTGGTTTTTTTTTATACATGATATTATAACAATTATTTAATTAATAGTTGTATTCAATTTACATTATATAAATTTAGTTTGACTTGCTCCTATTGTGTTTGCAGTGTTCTAAAATTATATTCTTTAATCTAAAGTTTATTTTTTGTATACATTTTTAATATTTCTATCATTACTTTTAATGTCGAAGTGTATCTATTTTTAATATTTAATTTATAGTTAAATTTATTATTCATGTTTTGATATTTAAAAGGTCAACCATAACGTGTTAGAAGTTTGCTAATTTTTTCATATACTATTGAGTACTAATTCTTAAGACAAGTAATTGATTTAGTTTATTTATACTTAACACACTTTACAATATAAAATACAAAGTTTTCATTATTATATTCTAGACCTTAGAATTTTGTGTTTTAATTGAAAACAAAAGAAGAATACAAGTGTTTTACATGAATGTTTTTACTACATTTTTAATTCACCGTGGTTATTTTTATAAAAAATTATTGTTACATGATGACAGTGGCTGGAGGGAGGAGATGCTTGAAACTGTAGCACTAACTGTTCTGCATATTAGAATTTTTAGATTTTGAGCGGATCAAAGAATGTATTGATTTTACAATTATGTGCGTATTTTTTTTTGTTTTTGTCATTACCTTTTGGGACAATAAAAATGTTTTGATTTCCTTCAACTGCATCTTTTCTGAAAGAAAAGTGAAATCTACTTTTTCGGGCGGAAACTCAAAAGTAAAAAATTCACAATAGTTTTACAAAGCACATTTTATTTTTTGGTATAACTTTAATGTTAGGATTAATAGAAATGTTAAATTAATGTTTATAGTTTATATAAACACTTTCTATGCACCATAACATTTTCGAAATAATGCGACTTTTTTGAGCAATTTAAAGGCATAACAAATTGTCTAGTCTTAACATTTTTTTCTTAACTATTGTCTATAAAAATGTTTTTCTCAACCAGAAGAGAATGTAATACTACGTTCCTCATAAGTTGTTAGAGGAAATAAAAGAAGAGAAAAAGTTGAGCGTAAAACCACAATAATTTTGTATGAGCGTCTGAAGTTAAAATGTTGGCTAAGTTCATCATAATAAAATTATTTCGTGTTAGAAATTCATAAAAAATTGTTTGTATTGTTAAACTTATTAATTGTAGACTACTACCACAGAATATGAATTGGTTAAAATTGTTTTTACCACGAAATTTTACATAATAAGATGTGGGTTATTACCTATAAGGACTAAGAAGCATTATTATTAAAATAGCATCCACCTTAAAATCCACCCCTGATTTACTATAAACTTACGTTGTTTTTTAATTTACAAATTACTCAGTACTACAAGTTTAGGTTATTAATTTAGAATATAAATTAGACGTTTTTTTCATGGTGTAAATGATAAATGATATTTTGTACGAAGCTAAATTTGACATGGAATTCCAATTATTTTCTCTAAGTAAACGTTGATTATGGTAATGGTACTATATTTAGTTAAGTACCCACCTAATAGGTACCTAAATCTAGCACGGCGGTTCCTAAACTGTGCACCTTGGTGACCCTAGCGGTAAACGGACGTTTCGTCCCGGTCAAAAAACCACTAACCAGTCCACGGACTTTGTTTCGTCAACGGTAATTATTAGCCATAGGACGTTTGGTCCTCGGAATATTTTGATTATAGGATATTCGGTTTTCAGATATTTTAATTCATTATTATTTATTAATTACTTCAAAACTCATTATTTTAGTGATAATAAATTTAATACATTCATTTTTATTTTTTAATGAACAATTCTGTAATGTTTAATACGTACTATGTAGGCTTTAGGTAAGTAGACACCTAATAAAAGATTTTACTTGCTCTATACAGCCAAACAGGCTTGTGAGCTGAAATTCTAAATTGATATTAATACATTAAATGAAGGGGTTTTCAAATAGGTGTAAAATATTTAGTAGGTAGGTATATCAAAAGTTATTAAGATAAACTTATTCGTAAAAATGTTTTTATCTTTACTATTTCCATAATTTTACTCACCCACTGTACATAATACATATGTTACATTTTGTTCGTGTTGTAGTGCGTACGCGTATATACCTAGTACAAAGTATATGAAGTGTTTAATTACAAAAATAAATAAATTTACAAAATTGTTTACACTGGACTAAAAAAAGTAAATTAGGAATCCGCCGGGTTTGTGTTCACAAAGACTGGAAGGAACACATTGGAGTATGACTGGTAATGGTAAAGAAATTCGTTTTTATTTTATGACAATAAAAATAGGGAAAACCTTATTATAATTTTCTTTTCACAAACGTGCATTGGCGTATTAAAGCATACCAAAATTATTTATATGCAGTGTCGCAGTGAACATTTTCTACTTGCCCTTTTTTTGTCAATTTTATATATTATATTACACTCAAGTGTAGACAAAATTATTATTCTTGTGATGTACCTATGCTTTGCATAAGCGTATAAATAAAGGAACTTATATTGAATTACTGACTGCTTTAAAGTTTAGTGAGGTTTAATGTAATATTGTAATTTGTAATATAACGCCGACTGATCATTATTTACTAGGTATTTAGATTTAAATTAATTCGACAACAGCAGCGCCATCTGCAGTGCGTCTAATAATTTTGAACTCAAACGCGTACGTGAAAAACTGGCCATAACAAGCTGCTCCATTTCTTAGCCAGACATCGCTGCCATGTACGATTTACAATGATGTTAGGTTAGGGAAGCACAGCTCCATCGGTATGTAATGGATTTTGTTTTTGAAAATCATTTCCGGGGACTTTCCCAAAAATAATACATTTTGTATTAAAATCAGGACCTTAGTTGATAAGTATTTAAAGTTTGGTTGAGCAGAGTGGATCATGTAGTGGACGATTCATGTTGGTCCACTCCCGTTTACCAAGGTGTTCCAAATCGTTAAATAATAATAGGTACAGCCCTGGGGACATAATAATATGACATCGGCCCACTGTAGAATAATTCTACAGTGGGTCGATGTCATACTGTTCTACTAGATTACTAGAATTGCACAGTAGCACAGTGACCTAGTCCTCCCCCGAATTGGTAAGCAGTATATGTTACGGAAAGAAAGGTACCGGTAAGAAATATTCCTTGTCACGGAACAACAGATTAAGGATGCGTTATCACCGATTTTATACGACTTAGCACTGAACTATGCAAATACAGGAGTGGAGGGTCAGAAGACAGAAATGAGAAATAACGAGGAAATTAAGGAACCTTATCTAAAATCCAGTAAAGTATATGAAATAAGAAAGATGAAGCCATGGCTAAATAGTTATTTAGCCATGGATGAAGCTCTCTTAGGCTGGACATGCGAGGTGAAAGGATATTTGCGTATGCACAATACACAATATGGTAAAATTTGGTAAAATGTGGAATTTACTCCAGAAGGTAAAATGCCAATAGGGCAACCAAGGTTAAAGTGAGAAGACCAAGTTGTAACCGACATGGAGGGAGATAAGCATGGGCGGATAGGCCTACCGGTAAACCAGGCATTTCCCGGTGGGCCCCCCTTCGTATTTCGGTAATGGGGCCCTTTAATAAAATGCAATTACCAACGATAGAAATAATTTGAAATTTTTTTTTCATGCGTGGGGCCCCCTTGTAAAATTTCTCGGTAGGCCAAAATTGGCCTATCCGCCCATGGAGATAAGTTGTATACAGATTGGTGATTCTTAGCTATGGATAGGGAAATACAGAGTGGTATCTATTATATGTTTGTTAGTATGGTCTAGACCAACATCTGGCGGATCACGACGGTCCGAATACGGACCTCGAACACTATTTTTACGGACCTTTATTTGGAGTAGTTTTTGAATTTTTTTAATATAAATAAAAAAACTATAAGTGCTTAATATAAAAAAAAATTCTTTAAGTAATTGATAAAAATACAAATTTAAAAAATAATGTATATTTTATTAATGCGTGTAAAAGTCATTAAAACTGATTGGGACCCCGGACAGTTTGGTAAGTTTCAAAACGAACTTCCATAAAAATTAGTAGGTGACGCCGAGTTTAGACTTTTAAAATGAAAACTACAAATAAAGATGAAAAATGTTTTTGCAATGATAAATTTCTTATTTATTTTAAAATTAATTCATTATAAAAGCGATGTATCTATTAGTTTATATTATAAAGAACAGTTTTAAGTTATAGATTTATACGTTATAACATTAAAATAAACATAATACATTAAAACCTACCTGTTATCGTCACTTATAAAATATTTGTATTTATAAACGTTTGAGGGGGGGGGGGAAGTGAAGAAATTGAGTTGAAAGTTAAATCATGCTTAAATTTTATAATAGATAAAAATGGCACGCCCCTTACTCCTAACCGCCACACAGACACTCAATTAAATATTCGCCAGAGGGTAGTGGCGTTGTGCGTAACAGAATATTCTTGAGTATAAATCATGCGTAATATTATTTTAATTGATCGCAAGTAATAAATATTATAGAAACCTATATCTAATTTATTATTACAGGGATATGGACGCAAAGACTATATGGCCTATACTCAGAAACTCAGAGTCTCTATATTTTCTGTATATCTAATATTATATAGGGTAAGTATATTATATCATGCTCGCGCCAGCATTTCATTGGGTTTTCAGCTCATAAATAGTCCCAAGCAAAGTCGACAAAAAAAAAAAAATATATATATATTACGATATACTCACACACACACAAACAAACGCACGCACACACACACACACAAGCATATAATATTATCATCATTATAATATGAACTCGGTCGAGCCGACCAGCCGCGTCGCCGCCGCCACCGCCGTCACGGGAGCGATCGATAACGCGCCGCCGCGGCCCGCCAAAGATAGTATAATACGCGCGTTTTACGCGAGGCCTACGAGCTCACACGTATCACGGCACTTCGCTGTGATCGGAACGCGATTCTTTCGATCGCGGGTGTCACACGATCTCCGCGAAATACTGGTCGATCAAATATCATCGCATGTATCCGGTGATTTTTTTCGTCGGCGGTCGCGCCCTCAAACCTCGTTTTGGATTATGATTTTCTATTTTTTTTTACTCAAACGACGATGATCTCGTCACGATAGTGTGATATCATCATTATCGTGCCCAAATAGATCTGCCGACGAGAAAAATCACAATAATATCAGTGTGTAATAGTGTAATACGACCACCGCCGGTAGAGGTGGCGGGTCGGGCAAGGGGATCGTACCCCGAGAGTTCGCGTCGCGGGCGCAAGCGCGAGTCGTCCGTCGTCGGGTGGCGTTACAGTCGTCGGTAGCGCTGTATATAGGTTATACGCGTATAGCGCGCGGGCTGTTGTGCGATCGCGCGATTCACGGACTACACGGGTACTCGGGAACGGTGGAGGAGAAGGACGACGGCGATTCGGCAAAATAGATCGTCACCGAAAACGGGTACAGGAGGTTAATAATATCATTATTGTACCAGAAAAATCGTGTAGGTGATACGGACAGAGCGGATTGATTGCGTTCGCGTAGGTTTATAGGCGATATAAAAACAACGACAGTAATAATAATATTTTTCATCCCCCAACGTGCGCGTTCCGCGTAGTATATCGTATGATAATAATATAGTCGCACTGCCTACGTAATAATAAGCAATAACAATATCATACCTCCACGTCATGGCGGGTGTTTGACGATCACAACGACACGACAACGGATATCGTACAGCAGCGGACATAGGTCGTCGGATCGTCGGATCACTGGATCGTTGTCTTCGCCGTCGTCGAGATGCAACCTCCTCCCAGGAAGGTAAGACATGGTTTTATTATGTTAAAAATAATATGATAGTTGACGTGTAACCATAACGGAATAAAAAAACAAGTAAAAAAAATGCCCATGAAAAGTTTCACATTCGTCCCGTTTGGCGCTGTCGAGAAAATGAATCATAAAACTTTGCCTTCAGACTTGGCTGTATCTACTACATAATAATATTATCGTTATAGGTACTGTATGGTAGTTATTTATGTCGAATAATGGGAATTCGCGATTTCGGTTTTCGTTTTTTTTAGGTTCCTTTTGTCCAACCGGTTTGGTCGGACCGCATTATACGATACTCTAGTACAATGTATACGTATTATTTAGCTTCGATTTAATCTTTTTACGCTTCCTCCCCCCACGCAACATAATTTGGCGGCGGTGACGTCGTGTATTGACGAATTACTGCAGTCATACGCGGTGACCGTGGTATAAGTATAATAGGTGTTATTCCGTCGTGTTGTTGTTATCATAACTCAAAGTTTTTTCCACAGGCTTCGACTACCTCGGGGGTCAACCCGGCTCGACGATGTCGTTCGGCGAATGATAAATATACACTCTGTATTAACCCCGACCGTGTTCGATAACGCGATCTGTCAATCGCAGTGCGTTCGTCTTCACGCGTCGATAAAATAAATATTCGTTTAGTCCAATAACGGCAGCTATAATATTATAGCTACGCCTACAATCCACATATTCCATCACGCATTATTATGAGAGGATTCATCAAGCTCAACACTATTTTATAACTCTTGATAGCGAATTTATTTGATTATATGATTTTTGGAATTTTACTATAGGTACTAGGAAGTGTCCAGAAACTTATTTTTTCTATTTTTTTATTTTAGTAAATTGTTGAGGAGACGACTTATTTAATTTTTTTTATACATCGACATCGAAAGATTAGTTATTGAATTTTTAAGTACTGAAAAGTGAAAGGTTATTAAATACTATATTATAATAGGTTAGGAAGATATCGGGATTACAGAAGTTTACTAACGGTGGTAGGGACAGGAGGAAATAATCCTCCACCCAACGAAATTTTGGGCATTTTTTTTCGAAATACCTTGTTTGTAGTTCAGTTAAGTTCACTCAATCAAGGTAACGGCGAGGAAGTGTCACTATTGGGAGGCTTCTTCTAACATGTATTTCAATGTCACTCTAAAATAAAACACATTGTACCTCGGGGTACAGAATGTATTATAATATCTTAAAAAAGTCACTCAATTTCTAGTTCTAACCAGAGGGGATGGAATCCTAGAAATATGTTGTCCTAAGTACACCTCTGGAGGTTGTAATTGAAAATTATATTATCTCATAAATATTAATTATTTAAAATTGTATAATTTATAAAAATTATCTGAGTATCGTAATAGTACCTACATTAGTATTAAGTACTATATTGGTACACAACCAATGTACTATAATAGAGAATATGTTACATTTATTTTAAATTCATATGTAAAGTTGTAACATTAAGGAAATTATGTCATTATCCTTAGCATATATAATTTGATAACTCGGAAAGACGGAAACAATCTGTTTATAAAAATGTACAGTTGGAAATATCGGTTAATATAACCACAAGATTTCTACTTTCTGACTGGTCTAAAAATCTAAATATTTAAAACAACCTTTAAGTACCTATGCTTCAAGATTCTAAAAATCAGAATTTGAATAAATGCATTATTAATGGATAGAAGCGGCGTAAATGAACCTCTCTGTAAATACCTATATATATCACATAGGTACACGTGCCGGCGTATTATTCAATCAATAATTTCCATGTTTGATTGTTTTCTCGATACACATTGTTTTGAGTTTGTTCAGTGGAATGAGTCTGGATTATACGGTCTTTGTAAAGATATATAAAAAAAAAAAGTTATCGTCGAATAATATTTATAATATTGATTATGCCCTTATTAAATATCAATGTTTATCAAACAGGATTATAGTCTATCCTTAGATCATTATAACCATTTAAAATTTAAACTGGCTTCTTATATTATTTTATTATTTTTTGATTTTATTGACAAACGTACAACTCATGGTGACCATCATAACACATATTTATACAACATTACAACAATCGATATTATTGCATTACTTTGATTGTAGAAATATTGAGTTTACGCCTATATACATCTACTTTTTTTTATTAAAAATAGAATATTTATTATTTAAAATTTGTATTATTCATGAATATGCAAATTTGTTGAAAATAAATCCAAGACATGGTTGAGTGAATGCCCACTGACACTACACTTAAAAGATGGGAGTGTTATTATTTTATTTGTATGAAATTGAAATGTTTAAAAAACATATGCTTCTGTGATGTTTTTATGAAGAAGAATAGGAAATTGTATAATGCTGTATTATTTACTTTAGTTAATACGTTTGATAAATGATAAATTCTAATGCTATGTTCACATGCATTTTATTGATTTTGCCTTTAAACATACAAACTCGTAAATATGACATAGTGTATGTAGGAACTAGGTCTGTAATAACTAACAACTATTAATATTTTGTAATCAATGTAACTGTGTCCGTTCAACAATTTAATTAAAAATAATATATTGTTTTTATATAAATGATGAGAATTTTATTCAGAGATAGTTTTTATTTTAAATTAGAGACTGGAGTTTTAAAAGTTGTAAAAAAATGTATTTTAAAATTGATTTATATTATCACACTTATAATTGATTAGATGAGTATGTAATCCGGTAATGAATTATCTGAATTGATGTTGAAAATAGTTCAAATTACAGAATGTTATCTGATACTGCTCTATTATAAAGCGGTGTTCGTAAGTAGGTAGGTACAAAACAAATTAAATGGTTCAAATAACATACCTACATATACCTACTATCATTTATTTTATTTTTGATTATACATTTTTACTATACTTCATTTGGGTGGAAACAAAAATCGGAGATTAAAATACCTACACAGATTTAAAGTTATTCCACTTGTGAATCCAGGATATCTGAAAAATATTGTGAATCACGAGTTCTCATTGAAAAAATGTATAACATAACAATATTTGATCAATACACAAACCAAAGCGTCTACGAAAATAACCTAAAACAGTAAAAAAAATAAATAATTATAATCTAATATAAGGATTTAAAAAAAAATTGGTGACTTAAATTTAAAAAAAAAACAATCCCGGCACCAAATAAAGTTATAAGTGTTAACATGATTTAATTAATAAACTTATAGTAATTTATTATTTTTATTTTACAGATTTTAAATAAAATATTTTATGAATAAAACTTAAGGATTTTGTGGGTTTTCATAAATATGTTTCATGTTTTGTATATAATTGCTGTATTTTAATTAATTTTGTTTAAGGGGAATTATGTTAAGTTTTTAAAAAATCTTCACTCGGAACAAATAGCAAAATTACTCTTAAAAAACCAAAACGAATGCGATTTGTTGGAAGACATAAGGTAAATAATTTTAGTGTTTTATTAAGTATAGTTATTAGTTAGTATACAAATTGAAACAATAAATATAACACTTAAAAGAAATAATCACTGTTGCAACTTGCAGTGTTATTTTTGTTTGAAATTAGTATAGAGTAAATTATTTATAGATGGTTTATTTTGTTCAATGAATTGTTGATTTGATATAAATTTATTTGTATATTTAATTCGTGTACCGGTAGTGCACATTTATGTAAATATATAAATTTTATAAATTTTCAAAAGTTCAAATTTATTCTATTAAATGAGCAATCTTCACACCATTTTTATTTACTCAGTTATTGAAACATCGAAGTAACCCTCTGCGTACCCAAAATAACAATTCATTGAACTCTGAACAGTCTAATTCAAATATACCTACCAACGGCAAGTGTACAATTATTAATTTTTAATTTTAGGAGCTTTTTGATCAAAAAATCTTCTATAGAAAAATCATATTCCGATGTAAGTATTAACTATTTATCTAAAACAATGACAATCTCAAATATTAAACATAAGGGTTAAGAGTACGTTTGAGTAAATATTTTTGTAAATTTTATAGGCATTGCTTAAAATATCTGTTGCTTTTTTGAACAAGAAAATTGCTAACATACCGGACATAAAGACTGAAGGCAGCGAAGAAAAATGGTAAGCATATTTTGTCGTAGCATGTTTACTGTATATAGATACTGAAATAGGTAACGAATTTTGAAGCAGCAGTTTTTTTAATTATAACTTATAAACATTTAAAGTATAGTTTTAAGTGATGTGAAGTGACATGGAATTTTAAACACGATTTACGTAGGCTGTAGGTAAACGTTATTGTAATATACTATGTGCAGACCATTTTTATTTAATGAATATCCACCGAGTTGTTACCGTAGAATGTTGTAAATATGTCTGTGGCATAAATAGCTTAAAATGTACTAAACATTTAAATCACAATATCTACATAATAATATAGGTATTAAAAAAAAAAATGTTCAATCCCTCCCATGAATATATATTATATTTTGAATTACAATCAGGGGTGGATTGGTACAGGAAATATAAATCAAAGTAGTCTACAATTACCTATTTCTTCTTTATTATTTAAGTAAAAAAAAGTTCTTCGATGGTTATGCTACTTAATTATCAACAATTATTCCATTGTACATTTGGCCTTAAATAAGAAATTAGATGCAGTATACATAGCTTTAATTCATAAATCAATTTAATAAATGTATAATGTATGGTTGAATACAGTAATGAAATGCATAACCCTAACGTCTAACAAATTAATTAGGTAATATGATTATTTCATACAGTTTACTTTTTTAACAACTGACTGTTTATAATTACGCTCCTTTCTATTGTTCGATTATTTCATCAGAGTCCAAATTATCGGATGTTTTTTTATTGAAAGCTATAACTATAAGCACGAAAGCTTCTAAATTATCTTAATTAAACTAATTTTGGAAGCGAGTCAACATTAAAAACGATTGGAACTGAGACACCTAGTTTAAAAAAAATTATATGTTTAAAATACATATTTAATGAAGTGCAATATGAAGAACTGAAGTAGGTATTTAAAATAATAGTTTAAAGTATTGTAGTAGTATTACCTGAGTTGAAGAAAGCGTAAGAAGATACTTATATATTAAAATGTTAATTGTTGATAAGCATCACTATAAAGCTTATAAGTGGATACTTCATTAAAACGTTTAAGTATCGAACAGCACAGTTCTTACACACTTTGTTTTCTTTGCAAGATTTTTCGTAAATGTTAGTATCAGCAATATCGACAAAACCTTTAAGGTTTTCATTGTTATTAAAATTATATTCATACCTATATGAGAACATCATTTTTAGTTAAATTATAACTCAAAGCAAAATGTAATAATTTTTAATGTAAATTATCCAATATTCATAGTAATATCTTAGCTAAATAGTTTTGCAATCTATTTTTAGACTAACAAAATTAGTGGATGAAAAACATGTTAAATCTAAATATATTTGGTTATTTTTTATAAGCCATCTTCTACACAGAACATGCTTCCGCAACAATGTTTTCCATCACACTATTAAATATTTTTATGTAATCCAAATTTTTTAATTTGATTAATTATTGTATCATCTTTAGTTAATTTGATGAATCAATATTTATTTTTACTGTTTATAAACATTATATGATAGTAATTTTATTTCGGTAAATCTATAGTAGGTATATAACTTTCCATATATTCTAGTTGACGTAACTGTGTCTATTTAGACGTAAAATAAATTCCTTTAAAAATGACCTGATTATAATATACAAAAATTAACAGATACATCTGATAAATAAAATGAGAACTTTTGTTATAATCAATGTTTTAAAGATTTATTTTTTATTTTAGTTTATGGCCGCTTACTTTAAAAGTACAATATAAAATGTTTTATTTTTATTTTTTAATAGATACTGAAAATAAAAAAAACAATAAATTACACTAAATTTCAAAATTCAAAATAGCTAATTTTTAAATCTGATAGAAAAATGTTAAAAACGTTTATCTAAGTCAAGCAGTTTAATTTTTACAATTTTTTTAAATACCAATATTTTTCTTAGGAAATTAATTTCAACTCTCATAACTTTTTTAAAATATTATTTTTGGGTATTTTTAGACATAAGTAAATCTTAATTTATTTATTTTCATTATCATATAATTGTCATAGTTTTTTTCATATTATGTTTAACTTGGTATCAATTTTTAATTTGTTAGGACTGTATCTATAATAGGTATAATATTTTTTTTCTTTAAATTAAATTTTAATTAAATTTGAATACATATTATATTATTTAAAGGTCCTATTTCCTATATTTTGTAATTTTTATTATTACTTAAATACATGCTGTGCACAACACAAACAAGTGTTATTTAAATAAAGATTATCATACCTGCAGCATAACAATTTCCAACAAGACCTGAATATAAATAACGTTTGATGTTTTTTCGATAGCTGTGACAATAACTGATCAGTTATTGCCATTGACTAATGGATTTGTGATATCCGATAATTTCTAAAAAAATGTGGATACATATATTAGTCATATTAAGTACAGGGTAAAAAAAACTGTGATATATTATTAATAATTAGCGCAATGTAAATTCTGTTAAAAATTAGTCGTTACACATACTTAATAATTTCGTAATTTGTACAACATACGAACAACGAATTTTGAATTATACACTGTCGTATTACAGACAAAAATTTGCTCTGACTTTCGTCGATACAATTGTACCCAGCTGTGTACAAAAGGGATTTATCAGTTATTGCTGTAAATACATTTTAACATAATATGAAAGAAACTGCCAACATTGTTTTTTTAATAAAATTATAAAAAAATATCAAACCAAAAAAAGTCGATTGAATAAAATGTTCTAGTCGTATTTAATGTGTATACGAATGTGTTATGTGATATTAATGTACTCATATTAATATGTAGTTGAGCGATCATAAATAATCAGTACACTGAAAGGTAGTGCAACATTGGCTGATTATTATACCTTTTGTTAGACTTAAAAACTGGCTCGAATCGATCAACGTGACCCGCACGCGCATCGTCTGGTGGTCCGCGCCTTAAAATACTATACCCTGCCCTTCCAACGGACAATGCTCTAAATAACACAGTTCTAGTTAGTATTTTACTCATTTAACACGTAAAACAAACCACGTATAGTATTATAATCGATTAGAAACCAAAAGTATATTTGTTACTAAAAAATACTCTTATTCTTACATTTTCCATAAATAGAAATTTTTTATTTCACTTTTATTTGTCGAAATTGCATAATCAAATAACTAATTGAAATTAATTTTATTTATTAGTTCAACAATTGGAAAAGAAATCACACACATTTAACAAATAAAATAAATAACCATCATAACACTGACAAAAATATTTTTATATTTATTTTTATTATAATTATTATATTACTATAATTAAGTACCTATCAAAGGATCTAACAGCGTTAGGGGTAGACAACTATAGCTAGGTAGCACTGGATAAAGAGAGATGGAAGCAAGTAAAAAATATATTTATTTATTATATTAAATTATAATAAAAATAATCTCAAGTCTAAAAAGGATTATTAACTTCTTGATAACTGTTTCATTTTTTCTTCATAAACTATGTATATATACAATAATGTTAAAATTTCTTTTAATATAAAGAAATGATTTTGAATTTAAGATTTTACATTTAACTACAATATTAGGTGATGAAATAATTTAGATTAGGTATTAACAATTTGTACTTCTATTACAATAATTAATTTCAAAATAAATTTATTAAACTGATCTATTTTTCCGTACACCTGACAACATGTATTATTAAGTATAAATCTTTCTGCAGAAGGTGGATGTCCATGTCTCACTGTATGGGTTAATATAAATTAATTTTTACTCTCTGAAAATTTTTTTATCCAATAATAATTGTTGTGATATATTAACAACATTATATAATTGTACAGTGAGAACAGTAGAACACTGAAATTGTTATGAACCATTTTCTAAATGCTATATTTAATCAGTTATTTTAAAATTGATAGTAATAACTTCAAACTCAAAGTGGAAAACAAAAAACGGATATTTGAAAATAATCAGCATAGATTGAAGTTATTGAATTTCATCTAACGGCAGAATAGAATCATTTATCTACCGGGGGTGGTGAAAAATAAAATGTTTAAACTCAGTTTGTATAATTTAGGATTAACATTAAAAATTTTAATTAATTACATCTAGGTACCTGTTATAAATTCGCAATTTTCTTAACTTACACTTAATTATATTTCATTGCTGTTTTGTAGTAGGTACTATGTAGATTGTAGGTAATTCATCAAATTGGATACGAATATGTCTTATTCAATACAATTTTTCAAAATAAAAATTACTAAAAATAATGCATGTCAAAATTCTTTCATTTTGTAAAAGGAAGGTATAAATTAAAATAAAAGTAAGGGCGGGTGCTCAAAAAAAAATAAAATATTGGTAGAGCTCCGTAGTTGGCCATTTGCGTGCCATTTCGAGCACTAATAGTAATAATTCAACGCAGCCTATTATAAAATTGAGCGAAGGAGGACTAAGAATCCAAATAATTGACCCGTACTCGTCGTGTGCTTACTTTATATTTCATTTGAAAAATAATAAATCCATGGGATTTATGTAGACAGTGGATTATGTTTGGTTAATTGGGTATATTTTAACCTTCAACGCTTTGACGTATTATGTTTAATCCTCGTGTGGTGTATTTTTTTGAAAGCATTGTGGCACTTCGAATGTGGCACAGTCGTAACTCGTAGGCAGTTGAAATATTAGACATAATTATCTATCCTAAGATTTTCAAAACAAAATACAGGACAAAATTTAACAATCATTTATGCACTCATACCGCACTGTGAAAACAATTTATTTACCCATTTTATTAAAAATCTTAAATAGTTAAATATTTTATTCAGAAGTTCATGATAGTTTCAATTTTCCTACCATAATCATTAATTATAATTATTATATCAAAATATATTAAAATGACATAGTTCGTATAAAAAAAACAAGTGAACATGGCATTCAATTTTTAGGACACTAGGATATTTAATAAAAAAAAAACTTTTATGAGTTTCATAATAATTCATTACTGTACTGTTAAGTTTTAACTTTTATTAAATGTTATTTTATGAATGATAAAAATTAATTTGAATCGGAGTGTAAAATTCAGTTTTTCTTTTATTCCAATTTTATTAGGCATCAGAAAAAAATCAAATTTTTAAAAGTACAAATACAATATGTAACGATTGAATTCTTTGTTCTCTCCATAAAAAATTTTCCGCCACCATCTATATAAAGCAATATCTTCAATTGTCGATACCGGATATATAATTTAATCCTTTTTAAGTGAATGATTTTGTATGTAATTTTAATAATTTTATATAATTATACGGCATAAAAAAATAATATTAAAAATATTATTATATAGGTCTAATAATATACATTTTAATCATAATATTGTTTTAACAAAAGTTGAAACCTAACAAATTTTAAATTTAAAGATTAGTTGTTTGTGCCTTATTTAGTAAAAAGTCCAACATTTTAAAATGGCATTTTCTAGGTAGGTACAGTAGGTAACTAATAAGTAAATACTCAGTTACATGCTTTGTTCTAAAATAATGAAATATTGTTTAAAATGTCAGAGAGCTTCAATTCCATAAAGAGTTTTGCTAAACTTAAAAATAGAACTTTGTACAACGAATTTATCAAAAGCCTGATTTTTTTTCGCAGCTTTACGTTTTTAATAAAACTTTAAAAGGTGTGTGATATCCAAAACTTTTAGATAATAATATCTTTTTGAAAAGAAGTTATTAGTATCTATTAAAAATAAATGTTTATTTAAATCATTAAACTATATATTATTTATCCTAAGACGTAATTGTTTGATAGTATTAATTTGTTCTATAATTATCCTAAATAAATGTGATTAAAAAAAATATGTGAATAAATGTTTAACTATTGTTAGGAATATGTGGAATGTGTGGCGAACAGTTCTCGAAGAAAACGAAACGGCTGCAAAAGCACGATTAGAAGCTATCGAAGTATTACAAAACCAAATAAATGACGAGGCGAAAGCTCTTCGAGCGCATAAACTTCAGATTGCAAAAAAAGTAAGTTATCAAATATCAGTATAATTTTATCCAGTTTTAGAAAAAATGTAGTCCACGTTATGCTCATGAAAAAGGTTCACTTTTTAAGATAAGAGTGATTCATGAAACAGTTATTAATTTCATGTCTTATGAGTGGAGTCCGGATTTCTATCTAGTTAAAATGTTTAAAATACGATGTACTAATTGAAATACTCCACCTAATCTTATAAAATCATAAAATAAATTTTCCTAAAATATGAAAGAAAATGATAGAGAATTTAAATTACAATGAAAGATAAGTAGGTACTCCCAATGAAAAAAATGTATTTGCAATCAATCATCCATTGAAATTATTTTAAAACCTAAAGTAAGTTATTATAATAATATGTGAAAATTAAATATTTAACACATTATAAAACATTTATCAAGATATGCAGAAATTCTTATTCCTCAATTTTATGTACATCAATATCTTATATATCCTATAGATTTAATTTTTAGAATAAATACATTATACTTTATTTATGTACTTTTTGTACCATAATATAACAGAAATTAAATTACTCAATAAATAACGTATATATGGTTTTTACTATGGGCTGTTTTCAAATTCATTATTTTAAGTTATAGGTATTATATTATGTATGCACATTATAAGATAAATAGGTAAATTAATTTTATTATTTTAGGCTAAGATATTTATCATATATTGTTATATAATTATAGTGTACAGATCATTTAGCATTGGTACAAAAAGAGCTTCATTCTTCCGTCCAAGATGTAGATAAAACGAAAAAGTTTTATTTCGACGAAGAACAGAGTGCTCATGAAGTGAGAGACAAGGCTAAGGATATAGAAGAAAAGTAAACTTTTAATTTATTGTTATAATACGAGTATAATTTATTATTAAATTACTCTTTTATAAAATTAAATTGCTAGTCATTGGTCAGCAAATAATATAATATTAAATCGAATTTGATGTGGGTGAGAAATTGTAGCTACTAAAAAATAGTTTTTAAAAAGATAAAAATGCTTAGAAAATGTTTAATTAAAACTAGAATTCAAGTTAATGTAATTAATTCGAAGTCTATATTTTATTTATTGTATTAATTATATAAATTCGTTAGTTGTTGTATTTTTTAGTTATCTTTTAGATTCTGAGTAGAGTGAGAAATGTATTGATCTTAAACCTAATGGTCATAATGTTATTAAAAAAAAAGAAAGTATGTAATCATTTTTTTTGAATAGAATTAATGTTCTGAAAGTTTCATGAATTCAAACAAAATCTTCTATAGATCTCCAGATTATAGCTTGTACACAAAACGCTTACCTATGTATTATATAGGTACTAATAAGTGTAATATTATGTGAATAATGCCTTGTAATATTGCTGGAATAATTACTAGTGTAACACACTAATACACCAAATTTTCTTAATTTATTTTGAATTTAATTAAGCTTTAATAAATTAACTTTTTTACGTCATCAACAATGACGAGTTTAATTAGAATAACAATTGAATAAACTGAAGTTTGCTAACACCATCTGCGACACGGCCATACCTTTAAATTTAATTGGCTGTTATTTTTCACAGGTTAAAGAAAAAAAAAGGCTCGTTCTTCCAGTCAATCACTTCTTTACAAAAGAACAGTGTGAAAGTAACTATAATATTTTTTAGTTTAATGTATCAAACATTTAAATCATTATTATAATATTATAGTTTATAGTTGTAGGTTTGGAAACAATAGTAATATTATACAGAATACCAACTCAATATGATAGATAATAATGATTATGAAATAAACTTAAAATATTCGATCTTTTTAGGTGTCTTCCAGAAGAGAAGTTTTGGAAGAGAAATCGTCGGGAGCTAGAAACGATTATTTACTGAGTCTGGCAGCTGCAAATGCTCATCAGACGCGATACTTTTTGGTTGACCTTCAAAATGTAATGAATGTGAGTAAATAAATATATATTATGCATAACTTGATAATGACATTTTATACTAATAACATTTTTGTAAGCATGTGAAAATATAATTTAATTGCAATTATTACAATAAAGTTGTCTAATGATAATCGTATAAATTTTGCTGCACGTTTAAAACGTAATGCTTCTTCTCTTCATATAATGATATTTAAGTTGTATGGTAATTTTATACTTATAGTAGGTATATTATCATTTACTAATTGTATTTATTTATTTAAGTTAAAAGTTAAATTCATTGCTTCGAGTGAGGTTGTAACCCGTTTTCTCAAAACAAATTTGAATTTGTAACAATAACATTTTAATTAATTTTTCATATATGAAAAGAACTTTTAGTAAAGTATAACAGTTTCCTTATATAATCGTCTATTTCCTACTAGACCTATTTATTTTTTTTATATTTATTTAACTTGATTAGTATTTAATTATATATTAGCTATTGCAGTTATTAAAAGTCTTTTGAATTTAATGAATATAGACTATGGAACACAATGTTTATGAAAAAGTACAAGAATATTTGGCATTGCTAAGTAAAATCGAGCTCCTTACGTGTACTGTTGTTCATAATTCTTTCAAGAAAGTCAGAGACCAAGCGCAACAAGTTAGTTACTATATAAATATAATATAAAATATAGATTATGTTTAAAAAATTTCATACAATATACATTATATAGTAATATATACATTATACTTTTGATAAATTGTAAAATTGTTTGAAATAATGTTTAGTTGAGTAGAGAGTACAACATGCAATGCGTATACCTCTTCTATCCCGTATTGAAGCAACACGTTCAATACCAATTTGAACCTTGTGACGGAGACGGAATAGATCACATTACAGCAGATCACGGTGGAGTGGTGACTATACTTAGCCAAGAAGCCAAAAGATGGGCTACAAGAATAATTAGAGAGACGAATAACATCAAAGAAAACACTAGAAAACTACAGGTCTTCCAAGCTCTCAGGGATTCTGGACAAAAGGTAAAATACTAAAATTAATTATGACATAATGTGCATTGATTTATTATGTAATTATGTTTGTTATGTAATAAGACTGTTTTATTGATCGAAACATTTATTAGGTAGATATATAACGTCATTACGTTACATCCCAAACTCGAAACAATTTCCATAAAAATTTATGTGTTAGAAAAAAAAGTATCCATTCGTGAACTCTCGCGACGATGAATAATTCATTAATCGACTGCGTGATTTATTAGTATACTGCGTATTACCTAAAAAACACACGAACCCTTTCGTGTAGATTATCATCAAATGGCTTTTAAAACAGTACAGACTTTATAAGCGATTATTTATTATAAATATTAAAGAAATAGCTTATATAAGATTAATCATTGAAAGATCAAAATTTGGAAACATTTTGATAATGCCCTAATAAGCCCCTTTTAATATAATATATTATACAAACGGTATCATCTTTAATGACACCGGTCGTAATGCAAATTGGATAAAACGAAATTAATTTCAAGGTCCCTGACTGGTTATTATGATATTGGAAATAACGACAATATTGGCTGAAAAATACATAAACAACAAAATGTATATAACGGTATTATTACTGTATTGGCTTAATATTTTTGGTGTGATTACCTTTTTTTATATGTCTTTAAGATATTCACTATATATCTACATTTTTCATCATAGAAATATTTGTAATGATATATTTTAGTAGGTTGCCGTGTATGATACTTGATGAGGTCACGTATTTATGTGTATCGTGTTTCATTAAAACGATTAAATTAAAAATAATAAGTGTTGGTTATAGCTACGTATTTGTTAGCGGTCCTTTAGCAGTCATTATATATGACACTAATTGTAATATATTTTATATTAATGAATAATGAATACATAAATATATTTTTTTGATTCATTACAGAACGACCCAAATGATCCAAATGGAGCTGATTTGGAAACTAAAATAGAATCTTTGAAAAACAGCATTCGGAGATCTGAAGTAAGCTTAACGACAATGAGCTCAAAAATATTTTTATTTGTGTTTCATGTTTGCATATAAAACGCTTAATAATTAACATTGTTGATTGCAGGACAGAGTAAACAAATTACAAAATGTTTACTATTATAACAATATAACGTTGAGTTATGTTTGTATGCGATTGTTTACGTTATCTTAATATTAGTTTCATTCTCATTTCTCATATTATAATATATTATATTAAACTAACAGCAACAATTGTTGACACGTTGTTCCAAGTATTGATAAAATAATAATTACTTACTGTATAGTACAAATTAAAAACACTAACCAACGGCACATTATATTGGAGTGTTATATTAATGTTAAATTAATTAATTTAAACATGGATAATAATAGAACATAAATAAACTTGTTCATAATCGATTTTAGTTAGTTTTATGTAATTCAAAAAAATATTTACCGTAGGCACTTGAACTTTTTAATATTATGTATTTACGTAGGTATATTAATATTTAGTCAAGTTTTAGCTTTTTATACCACGAAAAAAACTTATCCTCACCATTCCGCAGAATACGTTGGCATTGACTATTGTCTATTTTCTATCGAATTATAAGTTATAAGTCATACATTTTTAAGCAATGTTTTTCGTGAAAATTAATTCCATCTAGGTACCTATTTAAGAAAATAATTTCAATAAGATATGCTATCCTCGAGAATAGCTGCTTCTCCACATTTTAATGGTCGTCTCCTTCGTCTAGAATCGTGGGTAAAATAATTTATTTTTGAATTCATATATTTTAATACATGGATTCATCTATCTGAGTTATGAGGTATACTCGAAACGGCAAAACCTACTTTACAGTAGAAGCGATTTCCTTTGTTTTTCCGTTTGATTACTAACCGATATATGATGAGTATATATTTTTATTGTTAATTTTTTCTTTTTCAGATAGCCAAAGCCAAAGCTGAATCTCGTATTGAGTGTTTGAGAAATGGAGATGGAAATGGTACTTATATTATACTTTATTGTTTGGGAGGTTTTAACCAAGGGATTATTGAGCTTTACATTTTTATTATTAAAATGAATCCACTCGTCTTAATTAAGGCTTGATGAAAGTTCAAATTTTTTATTACGTATTATATGCAAAAATGCAAATTGGATTATTTGTGTAAACATTGAACTGGTTGTATTGTATCATAGTTAATGTAGAAGAATGGCTAGCTGACATGGGCGATATAAATACCGAACTTCAACGATCAAATAGTACATCTTCATTACCAATTGATGGAGGAACAACTAGTGCAATGACATCTGACTACGATAGTGAGGATTACGGAGACGGGCCTTCAGATAGTCCAGTACCATCCGATCATCCACAGTCGTCGTCTCAAGATGAAGAAGATCGACCAGATTCGGCTGAAATCGATAAAGATTGGGGTATTTATCGATATCATAAATTATCATTATGAGACTTATTGTTTGTACCTTATTATTATATATTACATTTAAATAATAAAACTATGAATATATTGTACTTTTAAAAATGAGATTTTAAATTTTGTTTGTGCTGATACTCACGTCTTAATATTGTTTACGTATATTTTAGCGCTTGTGGAAAAAGAACGTCAACGTATTGAACAATTAACAGCTGGTTGGGACGATCCGACTCAGGTAAATTGGGAAGAAACTCGTGACACTGAAGAAAAAACTATGTACCCTCAAACTGCACCAGAAGAATCTGAAGGCCCTGTTTACAAATGTACTGCGTTATACAGCTATACTGTAAGTAAAATAAAATTAGGAATTTATCTATAACCTTTTTTTTTTAACGATACATATTATTAACTTATTATTTACAATACATTGTGTTGATATAGTGTATAAATAACTTACGCTTGATTACAATTACTAAGTATATTAGAATAAAATAAACACTTACAATTAATAGTTTGATATGCAACTCTTATAAATAGTCTAAGTCATACTATTACTTATTATACCTATACCATTTATTTTCATTTGATCCTTTATTATTCGAGGCCGCATTAATGATTATTTGTTCATTGGTTTGGTATTTGAATTTCATAAATATTACGAGTTGTTTTAACATATTAATTTAAAATTGCTTAATACTAAATATTAATTTTAAATATGTTTTCAAAACTAATAATGAGGAGGTGTAAAATATATAAATATATATTGGCCATCACTGTAAAAATGGTATTTAGCATTTTCCAAATCATTATTTTAAACATGTTCTTTCATTTTTATATATATACGTAAATTTTGAATAATATTGATATTCAACTATACTAGTTTACAGACCACTGCAGTATTTACCTTTCTTATTTATTTATCTTCTTTACCCACGGACACACTGAGTACTGAATATTCTAATCATAGAGCGTAGAACATTAAGAGCTACAAGTACATACAAAAATATGAAAAATCCATTTTTACTGAGACAATTTGTTTTAAAATCATTTTATTGTGTTTTGCATGTATATTAAGTAATCACCCCAGTTTATTCAGAAAGTTGAATTAGATACGCCCGAGATTTTTAGATTATGATTTGGGAAAATCTGTTATAAATTGAAAATTTGTTTCTACACCCTACCCAGTACCAATTATGAGGTAGTAAAGCAATATGTACACGAAATCCTATGACTTGGGATATAATTGTTTTCGGTGTTTAAATTCTTCGATAACATCTTGAAGTTTTAAAATATAATTCCATACGGTTCATATAAATACATTGAGGACCAAGATCTAATTTCGGTCGATCTTTATGTGTTGTCCATCGCAATATAGATTTTAATCTAATTAACACAAGATTTAATTACAGATTCCTTTTAAAAGGTATAATACCTAATTTTCGTCCATTGAAGTGTTGACACTGTTTTTAATTTCTGGATAACAATGTTGACTTGTTTTACATTATTATTATTATAATATATAAAATAAATGACTTCATAGTTTTTGAAGGTTTTTGATAGTCAAAATATCAACTTCGTCTTCTGTTATTTGTTATTTCATGTTTCAATTGATATTATAGAGTCGTCAATTATTTATTATTTATCATAGAACTACCTGACCTAACTCAAACAACTCTTCATAAGTAATAACACTAATAACTATCGCCGATCTTGTTATTTCCCCGACACAATACATACGCATTAAACATAATTTTATCAGTTCTATTTGTTTCATTATTATAATCATAAATTCATTTTAAAAATATTAAAGTAGTATTACTTTTTTATAAAAATGTTTTAGGGCCAACATCCTGATGAGTTAAGCATCGTTGAAAATGAGCAGCTTGAAGTGTTTAGTGTAGACAGTGATAATTACGGTTGGTCAAAAGCCAGAAATTATAAAGGTGAAGTAGGATATGTACCATCTAATTACCTGGATATCGAACAAGAAACGTGTGATCCAGAAACACACGACACCCCTACCACATACCAACTTAGATCGCAGATTAGTTTTTCCTCGGTGGACTATATGGTCAACGACGAAGCAGCCAGTCAATCACAGCACTGTCAGTCTGATGAAGACGTTGAAGCTGAAGAACAATCATCAGAAAAAAGCATCACTACAGTGTGGGAAAAGAAAGACGGAGGTAACATCGTTATGATATCTATATAACCTACTAAATCAATTTCAAAAAATGTAACGATAAAGTTACATCATATGTTTTTGTCGCTTACAAATTTACAATGTAATGACGCCCCCAATAGATTGACCATATTATACGTGTTTATCTGAAAAGCAATTTTCTTTTACTTTTTCAGGTATCATAGAAGTACCGTCGTATTGTATAGCTTTATTTGATTATGATGGAAACGACCCAGAAGAACTGGGTATGAAGGAAGGCCAAATAATTAAAGTGGTCGACAAGACTACACACGTAGACGATGGGTGGTGGGTAGGTGAGTTGGGTAGCAAGATGGGACATTTCCCGTCGTGCCTAGTAAAAGAATGTTACGAGAACGGTGAATTAGTACCCACACCGACATCTGAAAACGGAGACAGTGATTTTTCGAATGAAGATCATCCCGAGTTTGTAACAAGTGGTCCACCACCGCCACCACCACCAATATTTACACCACCCGAAGTACCATCAACACATTTGTTCCCGACTCAAGTGATTGTCACCCAACCGACTCCAATCGGTGATCATGGACCTCCTGGAAGTTTTGCTCCAGAAGGTGAGTAGCACGCGTGAAAGATCAACAATAAGCCGATACAAGATAATTAAAAAAGAATAATTTAAAAATAAATATGAACTAAATGAGAGTTTTTGGATGTAGTTGTATAATATAAAATGTGAAAATAGAATGAAATCAAGGTGCATTGTATATTTGTATAATGAAAATAATGAATAAATATACCGAGACAATAATATTACTAGTTATTTTAAAAAAGATGAAAATTGAATTAAAAATATGATAAATATTTATATTTTTTTTCGTGGTATTGTTCAGTAAACTGTGGTAATGATGTTGTTAAAATAGGGTTTAAACGCTCAAAAAAAAAAAACAGAAATTTAATTAAATAATTTTTTTTTAAATAAATAGTACAAATATATAATAAACTTGGTAAGTTAATTATATATCAACATAATAAATATAGGTATATTACCGAATTAATAAATAAAAAAAATATTTAGGTAGGTATGTTACCTATATTAGGTATATAATGTATATATTGCGTTGTACATTATAAAACTAAATATTTTGAGTCTATTTCTGAGTTCACAAATACTTTTAACTTATCTTTCAATAAATTATTAAATGTAATGGGTATGTATTAATATTAGAAGTGATGGTAAAAATGTTGATAATTTGTTGATATCATTTGAGATTAGACGTGATTATACTAACCGAAACATGACATGATATTAATAATTATCACTTTAGTATACCTGGTTTTCATGATTTTCACATGAAGATAAAACAAATATATCAAAAACTAAAAAATTTGAAGAATGTATGATTGCCGAACTAGTATTTTCCTCACTTCACAATAATGATTTTTTTTTTTTAAAGTTAAAAAATATCCTCTGAATAAAATCCTTCTTAGTTAGGTACTGCAAAAAGTACAAAATCTGAAATGATTTTCAAGTTATTTAAAAGATAGAATCCAAATAGTTATGTTAAATGACCTTCTACAGAGGTAGACATCCTTTTTGATGTATAGAATATACAATATTTCAGTAAATCACAATAACACAAATATTTGCCAAAGATGTATTGACAATTTAGAACCAACTATTTACAACTCAATGTCGTTCGGTATAAAAAATATATAAGATCCAACCATATAACTCAATTATCAAATCACAAAATAACTGTTTTTAATTGCCTTCTGCGGGAACTATAATTTCACCTATTAAGAAATATTATATCTTTATATATGTTACTATAAATTTATCCACTCGTATTTTAGTTTGAAGTAATTTATGAATATTTTAATGTTATAATTCCCTTTTCTCCTTACACTGTATATATATGTACCTATGATTAATAATTATTAGCATGGAAATCTCTATTTACAACACAAGATTAGCTTAAAAGAAGTAGATTTAACAATAAACTTATTTCTTTCAATATAAAAAAAATGATATATATATATATATATATATTATCTACCTTGAATTACATATTTTGATTTTTAATTTTAGTGCCACCCAAATCGAATGAATTTTCAATGGTGATAACTCAAAATCAACAAGAACAGTATGACACTCAGTTTACGGAGGAGGAGGCTTCTGATGTAGTACCGGTAAACGGTGAGTGTTTATGATATATAATTAAAATATTAAAATATTGTTTTAATAATTATTTATAAATTCTTTTTCATGTTATTTAAATTTACAGTGCCCGGTGTACCACAACTGTTTATAGAAAACGAGGTAAAATTATTAATACTAATTCAGTAGTTTACAGAACACAATGTAGAGAATCAAGTATAAAATCCCATTCCTCTTTTTTTATATTTATGGTGCAAAATTGTTCAATTACATTTTAAAATTATCTATAAATAGTTGTTGTTCGTACAACTTTTATATTTAGCAGTTAGCACACTATCAAAGCATATATGCTGTATTTCTAAGACATAATTCAATCTTTTATAATGTCGAAAAGACAAAAAACTATTCTTTTTACTTCAAAAAACGTCTACTAAGTAGCTATATGTACACATACTAAAGCAGTTAAGTATAAAAGTTTTGATATTTTAGGTAGTTTAAAAACTACCAAATTAATTTACTATCAGCCCTATGTGTCATAGTGGTTTATTTAAGATTTTACAGACGTGGTTGCCTAAAGTATTTCCACTCCACCCCATCAGTCAAAGACATGACTATACCTATTGTATTTATCATGTTATGTAAGCAATTAATATTTAATAAAAATCTTAAAGATTATTATTGGAAGTCTACTAAAAATTATAGCTAACTTTCCGACAGTATTAAGTGCCCAAAATGTAAACTATTACTCTTTACACAACTATTTACAGCCACTTCAGATGCTGGAATACGTACCGCTAGTGACAATGGGTTCCTGTTATAGTGCTTAATTATTTTTTTAATATTATTTTATAGGACGACTGCAGTTCAGGACCTCCCAACGCTCCCCCGCCACCGGCACCTGCACCCGCGTCCGACGGGCTGGGCGTCGCTCAAATCGTCATCACAGCTGCCACCCCAATGATGGAAGAACCGGAAAAGCCGTTCGGCGAAGAAGCGGCTACGGTTGAGTCCGAGACAGAAGCTGAACCAGCCAGTGCTGAGGTTCAATCAGAATCGAAATCCGAAGAGGAGCACCGTATGAGCGTGGATAGTGATTACTTCCCGGCCACAATACCAGAAGAATCTGAAGACGATTTGAAGTTGCTTGAGACCGATCATCATGCTGACACGGGTTTGCCGTCGGAGCTCGAACCCGGACAGCTGGCCAAACTTCACAATCTCAAAGAGTCAAACGCTTAGATACATTTTTTTCATCGTATTATTATTTATTTTTCAAGGTCAACTATATATATTGTTTTTAAGGCTCTACCTATTATATATTAAGTCTAAGTATTCTTGTTTATGTTGTTATCGATCGGTAGGTATTCAAACCTATAACACTTGCTATATAATATTATAAATTAAATGCTTACGATATGATATATGGAACACATAAAACGAAAATTATGTGATTGTATATTATAGTGTTAAACGTTTCTATTTTAGTAGTAAAATGTTAACCGTAAATAATATCAACTTTGATTAATACACGTATCTTAATAAAAGTATTTATTTCAAATCAGAAGCACGTTTAGAGATAAAATTAAAGGTTGATTTATTCTTCGTATAATTCTTCTTGTTAATAGTATTATTTTCAATAGGGTAGAAAATAATTATTACGAATCTTATAATTTTTACAAGTGGCAAACGTGCCTATTATACTATTATGTGACATTTAAATATTAATAAACATGTATTTTCTATTCTCAATTTAAGTGTATCTACCAACATATTGATTCACCCCGGAGAATAAAGATTTGATCATATTTTTGTCACATTAATCCATAGCATAAGTAGTCTGACTTGATAGTTGGTATTTCAACAATATATTATTGTGAATCCATTTTGGTATTAAGTATACACCTACTATTCTACTATTCTAAAATGATTGTGAAACTAACATTTTTTATCGATACACAGTTGTCCACAATAATGTTGTAATCAATTAGATAATTAATAATGAGCTATGGTTATTTGAGACGACTACAACTATAATAATGACTTTTGCAATTTTACACTGGTAATAGTAATCAACTGACGGGGAATAGATTTAAATGTATAATTAATGATTTAAATGCTAATCGACTCCATTATTTTAACAAAAGTATTCGATTAATTGTGAAATCTATGACCCTCCGTTATTCTTTTAAATGGTTCAAGCCAGCAGTTTCGATTTTTAAAATCAATTGTATACACAAATCAAAAGTTATAGTTTTGTTTAAGACTATTTCTCAGACCTGACCAAGAATGATCTTTTTAAATGCCCCTATACACATTTGTTTTGAGCTAATTTAAATTCGCAGGTCTGGCCATTACCAAAGTGGCCTAGACACGTATACAAATCTTTGATGTCTCAATTATTTGAAATCTTATATGTTATGTATGCAGACTGTCGTTTTAAATTTTCAACAGCACCTACGCAATCTCCCTATACCTGTCTTTTTTTATTTTCTATATGATATATTTTATAACTTGCCTGTTATTGTTACGTTTTTGAAATTAATTTCAAAATTAAACGAATAACTTAAGCATGGGAGTTATTGATAAATGATAATTATGTCTTAACGAGTATCCATCATTATACAATGTGAGCATAATATATTATTATGTGTTTTAATTACTTATACCACTAAAACACCGAATTATTGTTTATTCATTTAAAAAATGCCAATTTTTAATCGACGTTACAACATAATTTAGTACATTATTATGTTTTAATATTTTACAAATGTATTTACATGATTACCATATTATTTTATTTGTTAAACAATGAACTTGATAAATTAATCTGATTTATATTAATGAAATTTTACAAATCATATTTATATCGAAAACAGCAGAGATTCGGGTTCCCACAGTTTAAAACAAAACATCTCCGTAACATTCGCTAAACACTATCTAATCGATGATATATTGTATCCACAGAAAACATGTTCAGTGGTAGGTATGCAATATTAATCACTTTTACCTATTAATGAATATGTACTATAATATTATTGTTCCAAAAAAAATTTTAGTCGAATGGAATGTTTGGGCTGCTTATGTTTAATCAAATCATTGCTCAACACGGACAGCGAAATAGCTGGGCATAGAGCGCCAAGAATCGTATTGATTATATATATTCGAATAAATAATAATATTATTAGTTATTGTTGTTAAATAATGTAATGTTTGTAATATGTTATTATTATTTGTTTTTCTTCTAAGTCGAAATTATTGTCTTATCTATCATGACGACTACGATTTATATTTTGTTCTAAATAATCTCGGTGAAAGCGAATACGATCTGCTTGTGTGACATAAATAGCTACCATAGACAATTTTATTAGGTATTAATTGTCAAAGGAGTGCCTTTTTTGTGTACGTGTATGATATAATACATTATTATAATATTATAGTCGTAAAATGTTAAATGGATACAAACAAAACTTAAATCTTAGGTTTTAAAACTAAAATAATCGACATAAATAAACATATAGATCTTTGGTATCGTAATTATTACCATAAATTAAATAACAGTATGTTATTTAATCTATGTTACTACCTACTGTATCAACTATCAATAACCAACAAATAAATATTTCGTAGCGATATTTATGCATTATAACGATGGTTCCTTTTATATAGACCATTTAACACTTTTAAATCTTCCCAAAATTAACTCATATTGAACGAACAATAATGTGTTAACTAATTAATGTAAACCGTTAAATGTTTTTTTTCGTACCTGTATTGTATTGTATTGTATTTGTTTAGTATTATATATTATTAAAAAACTAAAAACAAAACGTTGTTGTTAATTTTTACACGACTTTTTCATAATAATCTCCTGTATTATATCATTAATATGCTGATGTAATAAATCGTTTTTATCACTGGAAAAGTAGGTAAATATTTTATAGTTTCATATTTAGTAATTTATTGTAAGCAGAGACTAGAGATGCTTAATATGGAACAGATACAAGTATTTTGTTATAAATAAGTGTAGTTATGTTAAAATAGCCAATTTAACTATTCCACTAGTGAGTAATCAGTCCGCTGACTAATGTTCCCTTGAGACCTTAAAGATAAAAGGAATCGGTTCGTCATCATTAGGAAATATTTGGTCTCGGGTGACATCTATCGTTTAGGACGCTTGGAGAGAATATTGGGGTCCCGCGTTGCTCAAGCCATCAATCATGGTGCACGAAAACTGATTATTCTCTCGTATGGATTGGAGAACTTGTCCCGAAATTTCATGAAGGGAAAGAAATTTGATCACCAGTATTGACTTTTTTCGATACTGTTTTTAGTTTTGCTATTGATTCCGGGTTTCAACGGTTTTTAATTGTATTTAAAATCGGTATCCGACATCGGCTTCATCTCTGCTTGGGGGCATGGGCGTATTTAGAAATAAATAGTGGGGGTGGGGGACAAAAATACACCAAATTTCACAGGCCAATTTCGCTCCTCATTAATATGCCACTGTTTGGGGCGTATCAAGTTCATACACTAACATATTATAGTAATACAGGACAAAAATGTTTAGATTTTAACTAACTAACTATTAAAATATTCTTATACTATGAAATATTTGAAAATGAGTTTATGCTTTTATAATTTTAAATTGTTATCACATTGACTGGATTAACATTTTATTCATAAAAATATTGATATTTTTAAAAATAAAAAAATTAATAAATCGTTTCATTTATAATGAGCTAGTAATATAATATTATTAATTGTTTTAAATTGTTCGCATAAACGAAATGTGTTACCCGGCGAATTGTATAGGCAAAATAGGTACATTACTGAAGGGTTAAATTTTGTCCATAATTGCATTTGAACTTATTACAAGTAAACTCCATTCGCCCACAGAAAATGGTTGAGCACAATCCAAAACGGGTCAAATCCCGCCTTCACCACCTGAATTCCACATTCTTATGTGCGAAGTAGCCATATTCTCCAGGGAGCGGAGCTATAATTGTTATGAATGTACGAGTATGATTACAGCAAAGTACCAGAATATCTGAAAACAACGAAAAATTGATAAGACGAGAGCTAAGTGTATGAAAAACGTTTAAATTAAAACAAAATGTACGAAAAATGCTCACATTAATTACACAATACTATTAAAAAAGAGTGTCAAGGGGGGAGGGTCAGGGGTCTTTCAAAAGTTTGTGGACTGTGCCTTTATTCTCGAATCCGCCACTAAAATCTTCTCTTACATCCTTGCTCCTGGTGATATTGTTAATTATTGTGATTTGACTTTGGTGATTATTATTGCTACCTACCAATAGTATATTCTCTTGTCTGGTACAATTTAAAAAAATTATAATATTCTAAGTTTTAACTTTTAAAATTGCTTCTTCGCTCGTCTTGGCGATTGAAAATCTACTAATGGTCAAAATTTGTAGCACATATAACTACTTCAGATTTGTATAGTTTAGGGTAACATAATTTTTGAGGGAAACAAGAATCGAACTCGAAGTGCAGACTATATGATGAATAATTAGGTACGTCTATTAAAAATGCAGTTCGTGTTCAAACGTCTATTGGTAGGTATACTCTATTCCAAATAAGTCTTCAAAAATCACGCTTGCAGGTCCGCTCTAATTGGCTACAGACCTACAGTTTCGGTTACTCGGCGTGATGAGGCCGCTGGCAGATCACGTGGCACACTTGCGCGAAACCGGACTTCGTCGTACATTTTTCCAGACTTATTTGGAATAGAGCATAGTTAATAGTATAGCATAGCTATTATACAGATATGTAAAAGCATTTTCATGTGTAAACCAAGAAATAGTTTTAAAAATTAAAATTTTAACCATTACTTGAAAATTTAAATATTACGCGCTCATACACATACGTCTCTAGCTCACCTTAGGCCTGACTCGGCTGCGTGTATTGAAATTTGTTAATATTTTTCATTTCTTTTTTTTTCAGAAACTTGTTGAAGAACACGTACCTGCAGATAAGAATTAAGGGGATTCGATACCGACCATTTTTTTAGACTAAAACATCCAATCTTTTGTCCATCAGTCCGATGGACCAATAATGCGATAAGACTTTTAAAAACTGATTTGAATTCGTTATTATGTCTTCTTGCGATCGGCCACGTCACTTTTTCAAATTTCGGCCCCTAATCTTTATAATATGGATTTAGAAATTGTGAAACTTAAAAAAATGCAAGTTTTGATTACTCTGAATTAAAATTGTAAATTCAAAAAAGTGGCTAGGCCGATCTCAAGAAGACATAATAACGAATTCAAATCAGTTTTTAAAAGTCTTATCGTATCATTAGGTCCATCGGAATGATGGACAAAATATTGGATGTTTTAGTCGAAAAAACGGTCTATTTAATTTGCTCGCGCGCGCGACGATGTACACGTTGACATGTGTATGAGCGTGCGTGAGTCATAATAGAAATAGTGGTGGTGCGGGAGTCACTCACACTAATAATCAGTTACTACACACACGTAACCATGTCTTGCACGCAAGTACTATATAAATTGCCTATATTCAACTCCTTAAAACAGATCGGTATCGAATCCCCTTAAGTACATATAGGAACTCTATTCAGATTTCACACGCGTACAAAGGACGAAGTACTGATGGAAGCAATGTGTCTTGAGCAATTTACACTAAAAAACTCGACATTTAAAACTGTGTTTTGTAAATTTCCCAATACATACAACATATCATTTTTTTTTTATAAGCACTATATGCAAACTTGTTAGGTACTAAAACAAAAAAACGCATACCTTTGAACAATGAACTATTTTATTTTTGAATTGTTTGACAGATATTTTTTCAACATTTAATTGATATATTTATTAATTTTTTTTAATGGTTATAAATTATAATATGGATAGTTACTTATAGGATTCAAAATAATACCTTAGTGACAAGCATAAATGTATAAATTATATACATATAAATAGTCTTTATTTTCATAAACATAAACATTTATTTTTTCAACATATACTGTTATTGACGAATGCCGTTGTCCCTAATAGAACACATAAATTAAGTTTATTTATTAAATTCATTGTTAAAACTACACCAAAGTCAACAAGATAAGCTGGTTTAAATCACACCGGGTGAGCCTTAATCGACTAACTCTATTAGCTACAAACAACAGTATTCCTTTAAAAAATAAATTGTTATGTTTATGAAAATAAAGATTGTATTGTATTTTAGATATTACCAGGTGACTTTACCACGCTGGTCTGTGTCATAATATATACCACACATAGGTGATATTTGTATTTCTAATGACTCTCTTCGTCATGTTTGGGTTTGGTAATAGGATTTCATTGCCCCTCAAAGTATTATCATGGTTCAGTGCGCAACTGCACTTTCATTGATTATAAATTTATAATATAAAACAAGAAATTTATTGTAAATATTGAATATTTTATCCACTGTCTGGATAAATGACATTCTCAGATAATCAGACATTGGTGTTATATTTGAACAAATAACAAGATAAACAAAATTTTAATTTTTTTTCTACTTCTCCTGCTTTTAAAATAATCTCATTTGCAGCTTGGTAATGACAAAAAAAAAAAAACAAACCTATATTCAACACATACGATTATAATGAATATTACAAATGAATATACATAAAGAAATACTAAAAGTGAACAATATTGTATTATAATTACAGATTGGTTTTTAAATGAAATAATAATCGATTGCAGGACAAAATGTAGTTAATTATAGTTAACATAAAGCGCTTTCAAGTTTCAACTCTGTAATTTTTATGTAAAATATATTTAATTAAATGTTTAATGAACCTCGGATTTGTCGATTATAATATTCAATAAGCAAGGCAAGTAAAACATTATGTGATTACATATTTGTCATTGTCGTCTTAAAGGAATATTTGCCCCTTCCAGACATTTAAAGTAGGCATTATAAAATTATTTTATATTTGAATTAAAGATTTTTACATAAGAACTGCAAAGATGTTTTGAATATATCCTATAATATATTTGAACATAATTGAGATAAATACTAATATTAACGCATCATATTATATAGTCCAAAGTTAATTCAAACATAAAATATAAAAACGAATTATTATAGTGTTGTATTTATTTGAAAATTCGTGAGTGGTTACCCTAATCTAACGAAAACTGATATTACGCCACTTTATGACTTCTTACTTATTATTTAGTTAAGAACCGTTTAAATCAAAAATAATAATTTATAAAGAATAAATATAGAAAAATAAGGGGCAATAATATTATTATTATTAATAGAGAAGAGTGAAGACTGCCGTATATCCATTAATAATCTTTGAATATAAAAATGAATCCTTATTTCCCTTGGTCAAGGCATCACGAACGACTGGACCGATTTAGCTAATTCTTTTTTTCTTGTATTTGTTATTGTCAGGAGAAGGTTCTTATGTAAGAAAAAATTTAGAAAGTTACGCGGAAAATTAAAAAAAAATTAAAAATTGAATTCTTATATATTATTATAATGTAGTAATGTACAATCAACTGTTCTAAGAAACGTTCCCCTTTTAAATGAAAAACAAAAATATGCCTACGATACGCTAATGAAAGTAGTGAACGATGGAACTGGTGAATATTTTTTCTTAGAGGTTCCCGGTGGGTCTGGGAAAATGTTTTTAATATCGTTGATTTTGGGTACCTATATTGTTTTAGCTAACTATTTTTTCTAGCTGACCCAACAGACGTTGAATTGTCTTAATTATGAATATTGAATTCGAATTGGTATAATTAATAAAAAAAATATTACAAAAAAGTGTTTTAATCTTCAAACTCATATAATATTAATTCAAAATGAATAAATAAAAATAAATCCTTTATCTTATTTCTAATTCAAATGTTGTACCTACGTGACACGAGCACATATTCAACTCCAAATCCAATGATATCATCGCGAAATAGGCATAAATTCTCAGGGCATAAGGGTATAAGACATTTTGTAATCTGTACTTATTTAATAAGATATTTTGTAAAGTGTATTCATATTTTATTGTTAAGTTTCATATTTGACCATCTCGGATAATGCTAATTACAGTCCATATTTAGTCATTATATAAGTGGTTAAAACTTAAAAGTATGTTATGTAGGTAAATACTTTTTTTGAAAACTTGGTGAATTATATTTTATGATAATACATCTGACTTTAAATCTTTCGATGGTCCTCCCTTGTAAAATTTTTGGGGGTGGTACATTTTTATGCATTTATTTTTTGTATTTAGCCAGCTTGAAATTATTATTATAATTACATAAAATGTTCTGTGTATTTTATTGTTGATTTATAATTGAAAATTTAACCCAAAACTTACTATGGAATATTCTTTCCAATCCATTTTTATACAAAAGCGGAACGATTTTAATAATACGACATTACACGCCATTTTACATATTTTAGACAATACGCAGAATCCAGCTCGCTGTTGGCATGACGTATCTAGTTGTTATTTGTATACTTATATAACACAAAATCATAATATTTTACTCCATTTTTACGTATCTAGATATAAGTAGGTACTTCATCTTTAAGTGTTCTACGTATATTGTTCTAGTTGTATCAACGATAAATACTAGTGAGTAGTACTTCAAACGAGGCCAATCGAAATATTTATTTATTTTGACGCAGAGCGAGAATACACACCATGTGAACTCAGAAAAGCTGCTACGTAGAAGTTACGTAGAATGTTCGATGAAAACCTCAATGAATTATTTGATAATGAATTTATACACTTTCTCAGTTGATTATAGACATGGGAGGGCCGGAGTCGGCAGTCTAAGGGAGCCACTACTTGTGTTTCTAGCAGTGTTACGACTTAGAGTATGACGATCGGAACTGGTAGGCGTAGCGAGAGACTACTATTGACTTGTCATACTTTATTAATATAAACTATATTATTATGTGCTGTTCTTGACTCATTAAAATACGTAGAATCTTATAAAAAAATCAAAATTCGTTAAAGGAGCGATGAACGGTGGTAACCCAAACGTTGTGCGTCGCAAACTTTCGAAGGATATTACTTATACTAAAATAATGATTTTTTGCAAAAAATTTTTCTTGGACTATAGTTCTACTTAACTCATCGAAATACATGTTTCAAAAAAAATTATGAAAAATGAGTGGTATCTAAAGTGAAATTGTTCCTTCATTTAAAACACATACAACAAAAGTCTTATAATTTTATTAAGGTATTTATAGTTTTTTATCGAACATAAAAAATATACACAGTAAGTTTAAATTCAATGATCTGTATGCTGAACTTTAATGACACGCTCAAGAATAGTTGGAGAAGAGAATTTATGATGGTTAAGTCTTCTGAACCAGCTTTTTCAAACCTATATTGGGTCGCAAAGTATTTTTGATAGGTCATATTTCGTACATATTAACAAACAAAATATCTTGATAAAATAAAATAAAATAAATATATAAAAATAATTTTAGCCGTGAATGAATTAAGTTATCTTTTAGTTGATAATTTTAGGACATAATATATATCCAATATGAATATCCATTATTTATTTTATCGTAACTTTTGTATTTGCTTTTGTATTTTTTCATTACGATGCTGGGAAATGTGTTGTCTTATCGGTAAACGTACTAATGATTGTCGATGGTATCATTATTGTGTCAATGTACTCAGTGCTCGTACATAGTCATAAATACTCATATGTCGATTGTGCTTACAGTCAAGCTTGTGTACCTAGTACATCGAGCCTACTAGAGTTCAAACTAAAATAATTTAATTATGATATTATGCAAATTTGCATTTTCTTTTTATATCGAAGTATATCTAAATTGTTTTATTCAAAAATAATCTTTACATTTAACAGAATTAAGTATTCACTATTCAGTATTCAGCTATACCTAGTAAGATTTTTCAACTAAACCAACCGATTTCAAGTACATTTTAATAATTTTATCGGTTAAGAAAGGTTACATGCTTTATAATATTATATTATTTTCATTTAAGTAAGTTCTTTTTTTAATTGTGGTCTAATTAATTTGAACTCCAGCTATGACAATTAAGAATTTTTTACTAAACCAGTAAAGTTTGACATTATTAATATTGTAAGTAAAAAGTTACTTCACATGTTATAAAATAATTTTGTTGTATTTGTAGTAAGATCTGTTATTAATTATGGTCAAATTAACTCAAATTTTATTATGACCCGGATTTTTAGTTGTAATTTTAGAAATACTATTCTAAATAAACCGTGTTAACTTTTCAAGTAGCAACTCAGGGTTACATTGCATTTTTTATTTGAAAATCCCACTGTGATAGATATTTTTTTTGAACCCTAAGTATAACTAAACTATTAATAAATAACATAAATTCTGCTGTTATAATTGTTGCGGTTATAAAATATAGTATTCATAATATATGGTCATATTAGATACATAAATTTAAAAAAGAAATAAAAACGCCAATAAGACATAAATAACTAGGTACCTAACGACTTAAATTTATTTATTTCGTGTTAACTAAGAGCTATTGAACAGCTATAAAATTAAATCATATTTTGGTATATAATTGTACGAGTATTTTGATTATAATCTAATTTTTCTTAATAAAAGCAAATTCATTTTCATCACTCAAAAAGCTTGATTTTCAAATGGTAGTTTTTATATTATTTTTTTTCCTGGTACATCCGCATTTGATTGCAAGACTGCAATTTCTTATTAATACTGTAGATTTTGTATGCATTTTTTTACGTACATAATAATATGTAAATATTAAGACATGATGTATCCAAATATTGTTTATATTTGGCGTGAAACAATTCGCAACCTTCGTTAGTTCTTTGAATTCTGTAACTTTTTTCATCCCATATTTTTGTGGAAAACCAGAATCTTTTGATAAGTACCCATATGGTTTTTAAGTAAATTATCACAAAACTGAATTATTTTGTTCGTAATTTAGTTGAATCACAGATAGGTAACTAAAAGAAACAATCTCCTACTGCAGTAATGATAACTAAAAAATTAAAATTAGATATTGACCTATTTTTTTTATAAACGGTTGATATCAGGATGCTATTATTATTAATCCATATTTGTAAATTTTTGACATCACAATTGTCTTAGTTGAAATATAATTATAATGGCCTTTGATTAATAAAATGAACACACAAATTCAAATTTAAATAGCGATCTATATTGATTGCCTATTCAAAATCAATAAAAATGTCAAATTAGAGATTTTAAATTTACAATGTTAGTTCAGTTGTTAAATATTTATGGAAAAGTTACCTTTTAATCATTATGATATATTGGTAATATTATACAAAAAAAAAAAAAATTAAAATATTTTCTGAATGATTATAGTCGGGTAATATTTAATGTGAGGTATTATCGATGGTGATATTAGTTCATTATTTTTTAAAAGTGAGTAATAATTATAAAATTATGTGTATGCCAATGTGGCCAATATTCAATTTCACGTTCAAATTTTTACCAAAGTTATACAATCAACCAAAAACAACAATTTTAACTATTTTTTTACAATTCAAAAACTATTATTCGTCTGGACTCGACATTTTTACCATTACGTATGTACCTGTATTATTATTTTCTATACACGATGATATCTTCAAAATGTTCATTTTAAGCTATTGCCTATTAATACAGTTGAACATATTATAAACAATAAATACATACGTGATACCATGAAATTTAATACTATTATATGTATGGTATTTGTTTTTGGCAAAAATTAGCACCTAGTTTAACTTATCTAATATTATGAGTACCTAATAAAATAGATTACTGATGGTATTATAAATATTATGTACCTAATATATTAAACTCGGCTGACAGATGACTATTTCCTCCAGAGTCGTTTTTCGTGTACAGTGAATAACCATCGAATTCAAATCATCATACTATATATATTTAACATATCAATTACAGTGGCCTATAAATTACCACAAGATACACGACTAACCAACTGTACAGCATAACGGATTTCTTTTCCATGACATTAGTCCATCTGGACTTGATTATAATATTGATACGAAAACGGAGTAGGTAAACACACGTTACACTCTCTGCATGCGCTGCTCTTATTACCATCGGTTAGGGACGTCTTATTGTAGAATACTGGGGGCTATTTGGGAAATTATTTTGCTGGGCCTACTTGGTGGGCGTTAAGTGTTACTTTGGGGTCTTCTAGACAGTCAATTTTACATCTATTGATGAATCAGAATCATTGGATGAAAATATGAACTATGGACCCGATAATTTATTTTTTCAACAGACTCACTTTCAATATGCAGATGTCAGTGTCACACAGCACGAACTACGTTCAAGCCACCCCTGCCATCGGTAGGTGATTTTATAATCGATAAATAATTATCATTGCCTGTGCGTCGTCCGTATAATATATTATAAACAGTCGCTTGGCAAGATGCTTTTTAGCCATACTTTAATTGTGATGATGACTCAGCTTCGAGTTCTCACAAGAAACAGTTGATTAGAGTGGCAACATTTTAGGCGAGGCAAATTTTCCGGAAACATCTATTTATATACAATTATAGCTATATATTATGGTGACAAAACGTTGTTATTGTCAATTATATTTTATTTTGTGGTTCTATTGCTTACAAAGAATGTTATAAATTGTATTTTAATGTTGTATTAAATTTAAAATAATAACGAATAATATAATTGACAATATATTCCTTTATTAAAAAAAAAAGTTTTAAAAGGTATCCACGCCTATTAAACAATTGTAACATTTTTTGTGCTTGGATGGGTACAAAAATGTGGATCTCTGTGATAAAATGATTCGTTAAGCCATTGCTTATGTACATAATTAGTAATTACTAATTACCTATATATAACATATTAATTTATATTATGTACTATAATTGCCTTGTTTGCGATTCACGATCTAAGTGATTTATGTACGCTATGTATTTACGATTGTTTCAGGTGTTCCGATGAGGTGGAATTTTCAACAGCCTAGGTCCTGTTTTTGGTTGTTCATCATTATGACGTGCGTGTCATGCTTCATGGTCATGTGTATCTCCATTTTAGGTGAATTATTCAATCATTATATTATGTTGTGATAAAATTATCTGTATTAATTATAATTAGGAACTACTTATACTCATACCTTCTATAATCTATAATTTACACTATCACCTGACCTTGAAGAATTCATTGTCGGTTCGGCTGTTTTTCTTTAGATTTCAGTATTCAACATAAACATTAACCACCTAATATTCCTTAATTTTTAGCTATTAGATACTGCACTCCGATGCATGTATAGCGTTATATTTTAAAGTATAAAAAAGTGTTTAAAAAGTTTAAATCTATGAGTTTCTATAGAATCAAGTTGTTTCTAGTCAAGATCAGATCTGGATGGGAAATTTTACCATGGTAGATGGTATGGTATACTTCACCCAGGAGCATGTCTGGTTTTGTCACCTCTGGTCAACATTTCGCGATCAGTGTATTTCTGTTTAACTCAGTGTATCAGTACATAGGTATTGAGTAAATCAGAAGTTCTTCATTCTATTAACAGACTTAATATAATTGTATATCAAATACATAACTAAAGTTCGGATTTTGTAGCTCTATAAAACAAGCAATATACAATTTTACTTTAAATTCTACTTGCCATGTTGCATTAAATGATTAATAGTTGTAAATTTTGGAATAAAAAATATAGCCGGCTGTGGTGATCTCATAAAATATTTTTCTATGTTTAGATATTTTATAATGTGCATTGTGCATACAATTTCTTATCCTATAGTTATATCGATTAAATTAAACAAATAACGGCATAAAATCAATTGAGACCATAAGAACACATAATTTGATAAAAAAAAATAAATATTGATCTTTCAAAAAAGTTACTGAACACAAAAAAAAAAACTGAAGTAAAAAAAGTGGGTGACCAAAAAACCAAAAACAGCATAAAATTATTATTTCTACAAAGCAAAATAAAACTTACGCATAACACACACATACATTTTTAATTGTTTTAATTAAGCACACAGTTGAGTTGTGCAATATTCTATTATAACGATAAACGCGGTATCAATATTTATAAATCATACCTTCCTAATTATCTGTAGAAAACCAAGCTACACCTATTTATATTTTTAGTACACGGAAAGAAAACAGTAGATATCAACTATGATACTGTTAAAACGGTTAACCTGACTACAAAATCAGGTTGATTTTTCAACTAAAGAAAATGTTAATTATTTCATAACTTATGATCGAGCTAAATAAATGGAATATCAGGTCAGACATTGGTATGGGCCAGTATACTGACAGTTTAGAAATTATAATTTCTTTAAGCGATTTAACATGCATTTGTTTTGAGCGGGAAACAACATTATCCCTAGATTCCCTCTGCATTCACCCACGGATAATATAATATATATATACCTAGTCAATTGTACTAAATTCTATGGTTGACACCACTGTATTGTATATGTTAATTGATAATAGCTATAATAATTAATAACAATCATTTTGAAATTTATAATAGCTGTTATAACTATTCAATATTTATTCATAAACCATTTTATATAGTATATACTAGTGTAACCTACTATACAATAAGTTTATGTAACTACATTTATTCAACTCATTGATATTTTCGTTATCTCGGCTAAACACATAAGCTTATGTGTTACGTAAATAAATATTTCACGCCAACTGGCAACTAATAATTATACTATCATAACCAAATAATATTTTTCCCGTGATGTATACATCGTTACTGGTGCAGCGTATAGGCGCGCACAATTATAATTAACTGAGCAAACATCATATATTATATTGCACACAGAACAAATAAATAATTAATTGTCATCTGCCGGGTACGATATTTCGATATTTGACAATGTGCAATTTAATGGCACAAATATAATAGGTGAATAAGTAATATCATAATATTACACACAACACATACCTATTACACTGATTTTTGTGGATAGGTATAACGTGTTATAATAGATTTGATATTCGTATCATAATTCATAATACCTAGTAATGAACTAGATAATGTTGGTTAATTATTACCGATTATTATAAGTTATAACACATATGTACAAGCATGAAGTATGCATCGTACATTTAACATCCAACGTATTTCAAACCTTACAACATGATAACATATAATATGATACATCCATGCAAATGTTGGTGGAAGACTCAGATCACAGATTATGTATAATGTATATTATAATTTATATTACAGCATCTAAATTTAATTTCATCTTAGAAAGCAAAATGTTATTCTAGGCGTTTCGATACACATAACTCGAATTTAGGGTGAATAGTTTATGAGTTTTAACTTATAAGTACCTATTCAAAGTTAAGATAAGCGGAGTAGTGGACCATAATTTTACGGGATAACCACGTTCCACTTCACTCAATTCATATAAACTTTAAATACTTATAACTCATAAACTACTACCCCTAAATTCAATTTTTGTGATTCGAAATACTTACTTAGAAAAACATTCTGCTTTGAAATATGAAATTAAAACTGGATGTGATCATTCAAAAAAGTAAAATACTTAAAAATGTTGTTTCTTAATGACTAGCAGAAACCGAGTAAACAATTGTTTTTCTTAAACATTTAAACTTTTTGAAATAATGAGTGTTCAATGATAAAAGAATCACCCGGTATACTTAAATATATGCTTATACCATTATTCTTTGGTATTATATAATAATATATTATCATTTAATTAAAAAATAGACTATACATTCAGTGGTTATATTAACTATTAATTGTTATGTAAATATTGAAGTTAATCTTACTAATTTATTAGGTTAAACAACTTGAATGAGAAATATTTGTGTGGTTGTATTTTTTAGCTGGACATACTTTTGTGTTAGTTGAGTTGTAATAGTAGGTAGGTATATATATATCGGTGACGAAATTTATTCTTGTAAAGTTATAGTTTCTGAATAAACAATAGATGAATGGGAATATTGGCTTGAATTTGAAGATTCATTTGAGTATGGTCAAACGCTGCTGGGTCATTGAGATTAATGCTATTTGTGTAAAGGTGGTTGGGTAAGAAGAAAATTATTTTAGAGTGACGGCATCTGTAGGCGTGGTGATTGGGGAAAAGATTTTTGAGTACTTCTTTGTGTTGATCACGTTTTCGATGTAATGGTATAAAATGTTTAGGTATACTATATAATATAGTTTAGATATCCATGTACAAAATACAAAAACCTATACAATAATAAATTGTGATTTAGCTTCTTGTTGTAAAAAGTTTACGATATAAAAAAAAAAGTTTTTAACATACGTTCCGTAAAAGGGCGTGCTATGCCAGGGTTAACAACTTTGGATATTATTTGAATGTTAACATATTATTTTATTGTATTTTATCAATAATTTTTTGTTTTTGTATTTTTGCATTTTCATTCGAATTATTGATTTCCATAATTGCTTGAATGGTATAGGTACTAGATATTCATACGATCACAGTCCGGGGACAACGTTTTCTATGAAGGAAATGGAAATGCTCATTGAAAGCTTAACCAGATTAAATGAACTGAATGACAAAGACACCAAGAAAGAAATCAAGCTTTTCGGCCCGATTCTCGAAGAAATCGTTAAGTCGATGAACGTTTCCATTTCTAAACAATTGCAATCCTTAACGGCTGCTAATAAACTTGTGGAATTGGTCAGGTCACCGATGACACACCTTGATAAGTTTACATTTTTACCCCAACTGTGGTCTCATGAGGAGTTTTTGAGGCCAGTGATATTACATTCTGGTGGCAGAAAAGCAGGTAATTTATTTGTTTAAATACACACAGTGGATGACTGTGAATGGTGTACAGGAAAAATTACAATAATAATCTAAGACCTTGTTAATATTTTATAGGTTTAAAATGTATTTTAATATTTTAGTGTCTGTGGTGTATGGAATGCCTACTGTTCGTCGCTCAAAAGAAAATTACTTGATACCTACATTAATTAACATCGTAAGCAACATGAATCAAACTGAACGGGAAGATTCGTTAATAGTAGTGATGATTGGCGAAGTAATGTATACTTATGATTACTCAAAATAAAATATGTTACCGATCGATTAATATTTGTATCGGACGTGTTATAATTGTTACAGACCGATCACGAATACACGCAACAAGTTACTGCGGAAATCAAAAATCGGTTATTATTTCCCATTACCTAAGATGCCGATTGCAAATTGAGAATTTATATTATTATTGTTCACTATTTGACTTCAGGCTACCAGAAGCAGTGAACTCGGGTCTCGTGGACATAATTTGTCCGACCACGGAATATTATCCAGATTTCAGCAAACTTCGCAAGACGCTCGGTGATCATATGAATCGGGTCAGCTGGAGGAGCAAACAAAATTTGGATTATGCTTTCTTAATGATGTATTGCCAACCAAAAGGGTCGTTTTATGTTCAAATGGAAGACGACATAATCGCGAAACCACAGTTTCACACTATTATGAAAAATACAGCTTTGCAGATGATAGCTGACGGACAAGAGTGGTTCTTATTAGACTTTGGGGAACTTGGTTTTATCGGTATAATCATTTAAAAAAATACTAATTCACGATAGTGGTACAATGCACATTTTTATTTAGGCAAAATAATTAGATGTTCGGATCTACCGTGGGTAATTCAGTACTTCATTATGTTTTATAACGATCAACCAGGGGATTGGTTGCTGGACGGAATAGTAGAGGCAAAAGCTTGTGGTATTGATAAAGTAAGTAAATTATTTATAATAGGCATTAAAGCATTATGATTGATGATACATTTATATTTATCATATATTAGCTAAGCCTAAGCGCAGAATTTCTTCACAGATAATTTATAAAATAGATACACCCAAAAAACCTAAAATAAAACCAATAACTGTTCATTAACAAGTCAATACCTACATGCACTATAAGACAACAGTGGTTAGGTTTGACTCCTCTCCTCTCTTGCGCACAAGCCTGATACTAATTGTGTAACTTGACTTAATCCAAAAAATAAAAAAAAGCAGTGCTATATCGATATATCTCATTTTTAGCAGTTCACGAACAAAATAATCGGCATCGGTTAACTCCGTCTTGTGAACTAATTCCACCGAGATGGGCCAACTGCCTTTAGCGGATTGGATATAGACATATAAAACACTTGGTATACTTTTGGATGTGGTGTATGTACTTTCTAAAAACCCGAATTAATGTTAGTCATAATCCGTTGAGTAGTTTTCGAGTCTATAAGCAAAGAAACATAGACAAATCACATTTTGATGAACATTTGAATAACAAACAATAAATTAAATATTATATTATTTTATTAAAAAAGAAACCTGAACAACACATGCTTTGGGTTGGTAATCTATACTAATTTTTTCAAAATTTTATTTCTGTAACTAATGGCCACAACCCTAGAAAAAGATATTTGATTTTTTGTAAGTAAAAAATAAATACATTCGTGTGCTACTCTAAAGAAACTTATAAGCCTAGGGGTCCAAAAACGAATCCATGAACAGGCCCAAAAAACTGTGTCAGAAAATTAAAAAATTTACGTATTCTCAGACAAGATTGCCACGTATAATATAACTAACGTTTCAAGTATTGAACTCTAGATAATTGTTGAAACGTATCTATATGGTTTATATTAATTAATATTTGATTTTTTTATCAAAATTAAAAAAGTTCATAGATGGGTCCGTTTTGTTGTATCGTTGTACAAGTTTTTTAGTTTTCAAATGTGCCAACTAGATTCACTTTCCTATCAGAAGAGATGAGGCGGTAGGAAACTGGAGCATATTTACCACCACAAAAGTGTTAATGACTGACAAAAAGAAAACACATCATTGTAAAATCAATACAAAATATACAATATAATATTAACTCCGTACCTTCATTACTTGCTACTCAAAGATTGTAGTAGCTAAGAAATAAGATATATTAAGTATAATAATAATATACCTTTACCTTCATATTCATATTTATATTTCAAATAATCTAATTTAAAATTCTTAATTTTCGAACCATACAAAACAAAATTCATACGTATCATTATTATAACAGTTTTTAAGCTACTTTATTAGTTAATATTGAATTTTAATTATAGATAAATTGTCGACAACTAAAAGACAATTTATGGGTGAAATCAAATCAAACTGTTTTTCAACATATTGGTAACTGGTCATCTTTGGCAGGCAAAATTCAACGTATGAAGGTAAAGCTATAATTTTTTACCTACATGAATATACTACAATTTATATGTATAGGTAACAAATGTATACTTTTTGTCATAAAGGCTAAAAATTTTTGATAAAAGCAAATTATAAAAAGAAAATAATTTGTATTACACAAATTTAATTAGAAGATAATGAACCATGATGAAGTACAGGTGGTAATACCTGTAGCAAAAATCAAGAATAACTCATATAAAGACGATGGTTAGGAATCGTCTGTGATTGCTGGAGTGAAATAGTTTATTAAGAACATGTTATAACATTAATTAATTTGTATTTAAGTTATAAGCTTTGTTAATGTAATTACTAGTTAATATTATTAAAAAATTTTTTTTAGAGAAATGTTTGTTATTTACGAGAAATAATGGCGTGCTACTTAATTTGCATACTTATTGCATTTATTTCCAATCTATTTATGCTAAAAATAAACATTGACACCTGAGATAAAAAACATGATATGACAAATAACAATGTATAATATGTAATTACGTACCTAATATGTATAGGAAAACAGGTGGATGATTCTCTATTATGTTATAAGTGGGTCACTATAATGGATGGTGTTAAATTTGAATTCAATGTTTGGTATAACTACTCTATGGTATGATCGCAGGGCGCAGATACATGAAACTATCACTGAAGCTTTTATTATTAGCATTTTCTATAAAATACAATATTTAAAAATATTTTGACTTGTATTGAACTGTGTGTGGATATTTTCGGTTTTAAGTTTTTTTTAGTTTTTTTTTCTCCAAGTGCCAATAAAATTTTGTTTGTTGGGTCAAAAAGTGTGAAAATTTAACACAAAGCTCTTGATATATTATTACAATAGCAGTTGAAAAAATATTAAAATACATAGGCACGATTTTGTTTTATAAGCGTAAAAAGTTAAATCCTTGATAAAATTTATCAAATTGAAAATGTACAAATTATTTTGTAGTTGAAGATTTACAAAATGTTTAAATTTTATAGCAAAGGCTCGACAATTCAAAACAAAGTTGCACGCAAGTAACCAAAAAAAAAAAAAAATATATAATAACACAATATTTTTGTATACTTATTTTATGTTCAAATTTTCAGGAAATTAGATATAATTAAATAAGGAAGAATAATGGTTTAAGTTATTTTGTTGTAATTTAAAAATTATTCGTGGGTTCTAAACATTTTTGGTGCATGTTATTGTATAGTAAAAAATATTTTATACACACATTGTCTTTTCAAATGTAATTTTTTTGCCAAAAATGAATTTAATATACCGTAGTACTAATGCTTATTAGTAAAAAATTACTTTAATCACAATAATATCATCGATGATACTAAATTAAATTATTATTAATTACTAAGTAATATTATAGGCTGACTATAGTCTTTGCTCAGAATCGTTTTTCGTTTATAATGATTTTATAGCATTGAAATAAAATTTAACACTATCTATACAGTGACCCCCTTGTAACCTTTATTATTATACAGCAGAGCGACATTCACTTACCGTTTTTTGTAAATTGTAGATAATTAAAAAAAACGACCTATAGCATAATATGTATAACGTGTATAATGTTTTATTATTTAATATTTACCTATTGAGTTTCTATACAAATAGTGAAAATAAAAGTTGATCACATTATTTTTGGTTAAGAACCTATCGAAATTCTTTAAATTCATAATATATATAATTTTTAGATATACATATCATTATTATCTTAACGTGAAATATTATGCTTAGAATATACTTATAAATTTAGTTCTAGTATAGCCTAATATAATAAATATTAGTACACCAAGATAATATCATGGAAATAGTGTGACTAGTCTTCATTTTTGAATGGAAATCATAAAAATGATACGTACCTACTGACGCTATTATTTGAAATTTGATTTGATCAAACGCCTGCGAAGTGCAAATAAATAGAATTCGAAGTAGTACCATTGATGTTTATTTTTAATATAATCATATATTATTAATTTATAAAGTTGTATGAGCACAATGTTCTGTGTTCGGTTCTAAGTTTTAACTTCAATATATTTAAGTAAAATATCTATAAATATTTTGTCATTTGTGATCGAGTTACACACAAAAACGGTAAAGCACTTTCAGGAATTATTCGACCACTAATCAAAATATATTTACTCAACCCTTTGAGTGCTATAGACGCATATATACGTCTTTGCTTTTAAAAACTCAACAGAAGTTGTAATCAATACTACATTGTTGAATGATGCAAGTAGCAAGGTGGGTTCACTTCGTTCATTAAATTATAAAATCAAAGACGAATCCAAATATATGCTGAAAAAAATCGGATGAATATCAAAACAATTATAATAGTGAATGAAGTTTACTGTTCTTTCAGTGATCAGGCAAAATCTAATTATTGCATTTGAAATAAATTAGTAACTTCTGCAAAATCTAAATATAATATGTACAGTGACTTTAAAAAAAAGTATTTTACAGAAAATGAATATCATATTATTCATATGCTTATATGGGTATACATATTACATACAGAATATAATGGACAAGTAAATGTGTTTGATACAATATTGATAACCTACACAAAACGAAGAATTATTAAAAGCGTTTGAAAAAAGCTAATGTTTTTTAACAATATATTTTTACATAATTATTAAATTCCAATTGATTTCACGACACTCATTTAAGTATAATAACATATCCTACAAAAGCGATTAATGCGTCATAAATTATGATTAAAAAAAATTTATACGTTAAACCCATACTGACAAAAATATCGTGCCCGTTGACAAATTGTTGTATGATTTGAGGTTATCACCCAAAGTCGAGATATTCAACTTAGAAATGATTGAGATCTATGTATGTATGGTTGGATATTTTTGGTAAATGTATAGATTTTGCAGGGTTTATTAATTCTATAATTCGTTTCTTGATGATCACCTACTATCAATTAAAACTTAACTAATTTGTAGTATGATATAGATGAAATCAATATGAAATCAGATGAAATTTGTATAATTTCCCGGGCATCGTATTACAGTGTCTCCTGAGCAAGTGGCCATTATTTACATATTATTATATATTAATTAACATATTAATCGGCGTGTCTTATTTATATCAAAACTGAAGATTTTTGATCCCTGGTGCAAGTGGTCGCATTGCTTGTTTAGTATTGATTATTATTAAAACTCCTTACAAAAAACGTTGTCACACATTTTTACATGATTTTTACATAAAAGTTTCCGATGTGGATGTATTTATAATGATAAGTATAGTTAACGATGTTGATGTTTTAATAAATCATTTCTGGGCTCATGAAACCTTATGATTGATGAAGAACCTATCGGTTATTGTTTTCACCCGAACATTATTATTATAATAATAATTTATCTTTATTGATCAATAATTTTCTGATCGTCCAATGCATCACTACAACTTTTTTCAACTTCGTTTGGGTTTTCTAATTCGTCCATGTTATCATTGTCATTCGATGATTGTTTCTTCTGAAAAAAAATCAAAAACAATAATCGAACTGCATTATTATGCTTGAACACGATTATTTATACGAAATTGTTAATAGGCTTATTTTTTGTGATTTTTTTGTTTTATGTAATTAACTATTAAGAGAACCAAAAAATTCAGTTTATACATTTTGTTCAAACATTTTAATATACACACCTGCGGGTATATACCATTGTAGGTGTACAAATTACGAATTTAACTTTAAATTGTTTAGGAACAATAAATTATGGTTTACATGTTTTTAGATCTTAAACGTTTGGATAACAAAACAATTGAGTTGAAGTACACTACAACTGTATTTTTAAGTTATGGACACACAGTGCTATAACAATAAGTTAATAACTCTACAGTACAAACTATTAATAACAAAAACAACTATTATGGAAAAAAGCCATTGATGGGATCACATTCGTGGGGAAATGTTCTATAAGTACAGGATAGTACTTGTGTAATTTATTTTTTCTCTGTTGTAATATGTAATTTAAATATTATTTATTTCAATAAATAATGTATTATTTTAAAACAGACAACTTACGACCATGTCAATGAGCTCCATGAATTCTTTTTCTGCTTCCTGGACCATTCGGATTTCAGTTTCAGCCAACTGAGCGTGTTTATCCTTTGCTGAAGTGGTGTCGGTTTTTGCTGACGTCTTTGTCTTTAGCTTTAGTTCTCGTTGCTTTGCTTCGATTATTTTTTCTCGCCTAGTTTCCCGATCAAACATCTGTCAATAAATAAAAGATTAACTCGTTACTATTACTGCATGTATTCCGACAAGTGCGTACCGGTCGCATTAAAAATATAAAAATAAATATTATTAATATTATCGTGGTTTTTGATTTGATAAGGATATATTTTAATAATTTTTGATTCGGAGAGGACCAAATGTATTGATTTTACAATGATTTTTATTTTTTTTCTGACCACCATTGCCTTTTAAGGGCAGTAAAAATGCTTTCATTTACAAATGAGATATCAAGCGGCGCCTAGTGTGTTTGTTTTTATATATATTATTATTAGCTTTCGCCTATATATTTGTAGTTCGGTTTTCTTAAGAGACAAGGAATCACTTGTGGCGTAGTTCCACCTGTTCCAGACTCCTATAATCGAAAACGTAAAACTGCAAATATACTTTGATAGCCCAATGTCCGTTATGAACAATGAGATATCAAGCGGCGCCTAGTATTGGTCGGGTGCCTATAATAGTGACTAAATGGATCGATTTATTGGGAATATTTCATCTGAGTCCCTAGCCTTTTGATTTGGGAACAATTGTAAGATGATTTTAATTAAAGATCTCTAAGGCAGTGCAATAAATTTAAACAAGTTTTAATGGCGAAATAATGGCGAGAAATAAACTAATATGAATTCATACCTGGTGTCAGAATAAACGCAACAATTTAATTGATTTCATCAAAAGAGAAAGAAATTAAATCAAAACGAAATTCACGTTTTCTTGAGACGAGCTGCGTGGACGTGGTGTGCCTTGTTGATTGTGATGATGCACTGCGCCGACACAGTGCATCGTGTGATGCTGCTGCTGGATCCGACGAGCGTGAAGAATAGAGCGAGAGTGAGCGCCGCTGTTGTTAGCGCGTTGTGTATATATATGAGGTCGATTGTTTTATCCCCACTTAATAGTCGTCGCGTTGCCATAGACTGGTTGCGTTTGCCACGTGAATCAGGCGTTCAAATGCCTCTGTTGTTGGATATTGTCGTTGGTCTTTGCATTTGTTACTTTATTTGCAAAGGTATGTCTAGCCATGACATGTACCCCTATGTGTTGTCATTTTCCTTAACTTACGTGACATTTTTTAGCAATGATATTATGAACGGGCGTTGAAATATTGTGTGTATGTGGAGTACGTGCCTTTATTGAAGTAGAATTAAAATGACTGTCATTATGTCTTCCGTGCATATTTTAATGTGCATAGATTCTTGTAAGTTGCCTTTTGGTGAAGTTATATGTGGTATACCTTATTGGCGGTATAAATGTTCATTATGCAACACTTAGCCACTTGGCCTTTGACATGATATTGTATTGTTGCTCTGGATTCGGTAGTGTGTTTCTGCCCGTGCAGAAATTAATATTAAATTGTATATGTACTTGATATGATTTGATGGGCCTTTGAGTGAGCATGTGCAATGTTGGTTACGTCATAACGTGTTGTTGTTCGATATCTTGTTATTGATTAATTCTGTTTATCCGAAGACTGAAGGCGTTCACCAGAAACGGTAATTGGTATGATTTGATAGGCTTTTGAGTGAGTCATAACGTGTTGTTGTTTGATATCTTATCAGTGATTAATTTCATTTATACCCAAATATGGATATATTTTTTAATGAGTGTCTGTCTGGGAATTTTAATGACTTCCTGTTGTTTTCACGATTATAGGATGAATTATTCGTTTTGAAATACCGATTGCTTAATAATAGTTTTACCGCGTAGTATTTTAATTGCGTTTATTTTTCACACCAGAACATGTCTTCACCTAGCCTTTTCACCCCATACGTTTATTATAATATAAATTATAAATTATAAATTATAAAGCATATTATTTATATATTACAGTATACCTATACCTTATTTAGTAAGAAATACTCTCTGGCTGAAAATAAATAACAATCAAACTCGACAACCACAGATGCTTCTAGGCAGGTCGGTATCGACGTGGAATAATAAACAATTATTTTTAATTATTTAGTTTAGCAGTAAAAAAACATTTTATCTGAGTATCTATTATTAGTATATAATAATCAATTGTGTTACATGGTGAAACATCAATTTAAATGGAGTTTTCTGGTAGCAAATTATATCTAGCTGGACTCTTGAAAGGTCAAAATTGAAAATTCAAAGTTCTATTTTGTATCTTTTAAAACAATCATCGGAGAGATACCTATGAACATTTTAAAATTATGGTATTATTAATACAATAATTGTTTGGTAACCCTGATATCCAAAAACAGACGATATATTTTTTTTCAACATTATGAAGAATCCGTGGTGGTGACGCTAAATTTATATGGGTACATTACCATGGAGACGTGACTAGAAGTGGTCTAAAATAAAAATAATTATTTAACATCCAGAAAATAAATATTAATTTAATATCTGAGAAATCTTGCAATGGCGAAACATTGCCGGGTCAGCTAGTAAATTATATTTTACACACACAATGCAATTTTAAAATACAATTTTTTCACCAAATATTAATTTAACCCACGCAGTACCTACTAATGCCTAATAGTAAAATAAATTACATAAATTACAATAAAATAAAATATACTTGGTACATTGTTGCATTCATATCATCTTTAACAGTACATATAACAACTTCAAGTAACGGTTCTATAAAATAAAATATACTTGGTATATTATGCATAGCTGACAGTCCTGATCGTTTTTGATCAGAATCGTTTTTCGTATTCAATGATTTTATATTATCGAATTCAAATTTAATATTACAGTGACTTATCTAGACAAGACACCTAATGTACAGCAGAGCGTTACTCACTTGCCCACTTTTTATATTGTTTAGTTTACATTTGTAAATTCTCCCCCCCCCCCCCAAACCATGTAGCAATGTCTATAGACAAATTAGGACACTAAAAACAAAATAGTTTTTTATTTTAAATACTATGGTTATAGTTGAGTACAAACAAACACCCCTGTGTGTGTGTGGGGGGGGGAGGGGAAGTGGTTCGTTAAGAATAACTCTCACCGCCGTCAACAGCGCTTTGTCATTTTTTCCGGCAGTGACGAACCAATCGTTCATTTTGATCACGTAGGTCTTTCCGCAGTCATCACCCACGGCCAATAGAGCACCACCTTCGTGACATCGAATGCAATTCAATCCTTCGTCAGCCACCTAGGAACAAAATATACAAAAAACTGAAAAAAGTAAAGAATTATCGAAATCGCAGCGAATTGCATTTTACTATCGTGACACTATTCTCTGCCGGAAGGCGGAAAGGTTACATTCGATTTTCCTAAAAATTAATTTAAATGCGATTTTCCGGAACAGAAACAGTATAATATATGACTTATACATTTGTAAAGCACAACCCCACAAGCCCAATAAGAAAAAATAATAATGTGATGTATAATATAATGAACAAATGAAAAAAAAAATAAGTTTTAGAATTAAGTAGACAATTATAAGTTGTAACTCTTTCGAATATTAACATTTTGACTTAATTAAATAAAGTGATGTTTATTCATGTTAAGTTGGGTTGAAATGTTAAAAACTGTTTATCAATTGTATTGTTAAAATGTTTGGAAACCAATTCGGAAATTTTGATTGGAAATACCTTAATGGTGAGTATTGGATCCTTTTGTTTCTGCAAGATGTCCCAACCATCCAGGCAACCGTCAGCTCTAGTTGTATAGAAGACCGATGGTTTCGATTCACTCCACGCACCGTCAGTCAGTTTCACGTCGTGATGTCTATAAAATAATGATTATTAATTACCTTAACTCAGAATATTATTTCAATTATTTAATTTTATTTTGTTTATAAATAATATGTTCTAGCGTTACCCTCACTAGGCGCCCTTTTTTACTCTAGATTTCGAACGGAGTGATTAATGTATACTTTTTGCAATACTTGTGTATGTGTATAATTTTTAAATTATTAATTGCATACCTGTTATCAAATTTCAGAAAAGTATAAATATTCAACTTTCAGGTGGGTCGGGGGTGTCTTGCAACAAACTTTATCTAGTTAGTTTAGGCACAAAGTTGATGGTTAAATTTTAAAACTTAAAATGTAACTTAAGATATCTACATAATATGTATTTTTTACTAAAGCTTAAAATAATAAAAAATAATAATCATAATAACGGGTGCACCTTTTGCATAAACACTATTTGGCACACATCGAACACTGAATCCACTTTGCATATATGATTCCGATCTCGATTAGCCAACCATCCGAACTTCCTCATTAGAGATCTCAATTCAAACAACATCCTCGGATATGCCTAAACGATTAGCTCTCAATGGTGCAGAGTATTGATTAATATTAGTATATTACTATATGGTTCAGAGATTTGATAAATCAAAATGAATCTCTAAATAATATCAACCAAAAAAGTGTCATTGCTTGGTGCTAACCTGTTCTGCCCGCTCATACGCTTATCATAAAATAAATCATTTACACATAGTACAAATATTCTATCCAAACAAAACAAAAAAAAAACCATAACAATAGTTTTGAGTCACATTTTAAAATTAACTTGAAATGCTCCTATATGCAAGTTCCTTATTACAAGTTGAGTCAACGACAATATTATGTGCAAAATGCGATCTATGATCAATGTAGATACCTAACCTATAGTATTGTAGTGAGCCATTTACAAGCTTACATGTGTACTCAGTTAAGTAACTTTGATACATGTAAAGTCGTATTCGTAATTGGTAATATAATACTACTTATACGTACTTGGTCCACATTATAGGAGATTCCTTCACGTCCTCCGACCATATTCTCACCTGCCAATCGCCAACGGTCATAAAGTTTTTTAAAAATGCCGGGTTCCGTTGCACTGAATATACTGGACCGTAGTGACAGTTGTACGTGGACGATATTTTCTCAAAAACAGTTTTGCCTTTACGATTGCCGTTGAACACCAATCCAGTCTCTGTGCCTATCTATTATACACGTGAATACATGATAAATCAGCATTTTTATACAGGGTGATTTTTAATGAAGGACAATAAAATAATAACGAAATTAAATGATGAAATAGTAAACTTGAATTTATGAAAACTCCATCTGTAAAAATAGTGTAAGTATTTACGAAGTCAATTATTAGGGTAGCAGTAGAATAATGACAATGGATTCATTGTACCCACAGCTCTTTAATATTTCCTATTAAAATTTTAATATGGTTAAGGTATTTTTGTAACCACTGGGTATCTGTAGAAATTAAGAGATATTTTAGGTTAAGAGACCCTTTTTCCTCCTGTGTGTAGCAATACAATTTAAATTGTGAACATATCAAAGGTTGAGATTTCTGACTTTCTGATCACCCCAAAAAACTTAGTAATTTCAAACAAAATAGAAAAATACAACTATATATTTTTTTTGATTTGTCTTATGAAACTTTATATTTTTTACGTATAACCAAACTTATCATTTGTATTCTACATATAGTATTTCGTTCATTAGTTAACTGATTAATTCCAAAAGTTGTTCAACAACAACTTTAGAGAGTCTAAACCTTATCCTAAAATCATGACGATCCCATTTCATCATACATCATTAATTATTTCTCGTACTCCGTAAGCCTTAAGGTCTTCGCCCATAATTAATACATTCTAATATTTCATCATTATACAACAGATTTGGCTGAATATTCATTATCTTAAATTAATATGATTATTTATTTTTAAAAATACTGAACAACTTCAAGATGTACGTAGATTCTTATAATGTATACAATATTAATCATAGTGCAGTCTTAATATAATGATCCCGCAATATCATGTTTAGTCTTTCAGTTAGAAGTTCAACTGTCGGAATAAATAACAGACAACTTATAACCAACACTGGTAATACTTTATCTTACAGTATTGTGCCTAACCAATAACTGATGAACTGAAAGCTACAGTTAACTGACAATTAAAAGTCTTCAACTTGCAGTTACACATATAACAAAAAACCTGGGCCCATAGAAAATAAAAATAAATTTAAGTAGCTTGTGAGTTGTGACAAATAGTCCATGTATATAATAATATATTTTATATAGTTAGTAGTTAGCCGGGTCATTATTACTAAGTAAAATAATAAACCAATGATTTAATAATACTATATTATGGTTTGTTGCATTTGGTGGAGTTTGATTTTTAAGTGACAATTCTAGGAACGACGTGCGTGTCATAAATACTACAATAATTAATACATCGATCATAGATCACATTATGCACACGTTATATTATCGGCGACTCAATGTCATAATTATATGATATGCATACCATAAATCGTATTGGGATCGAAGGATCGTAATCCATGCAAAACACCCCGTGCGACCGGGCCCATTTAGTCCATTCCGGTTCGTCGACGTTTTCACCTTTCGATAGATCTAATATTAACACTTCCGTGGGTTCTGTGAGCTTTCGGGCGTCCCACCACATAACCTGAAAGAGCACACAATATTATGAATGATAAACGAAAAAATCATTGATTATTGTTTATTATTAATATATATATTATTAGTCAGTGTCGGATTTAAGAAGAAAAAAGACAAGCGATTGCCATAATATTAATTAAATTTATGTCACACCTTTCTTTAAAGCAAAAATAATATTTATTTTCATTGTCATGCAGTTCTTTCTTTTATAATTGCCATTATAGGTGTAGTATAATATTATCATTGTACCAGTTATATTTAATTTTGATTATTTTATATACTTACTTTTTTTATATGAAAAAGTAACGAAAATTATAGTAAATAAACTAAATTATATGAAAGAAGACAAATAAAAATAATTAATAGTATTATGAAAAATTGTCTTGCAAATATTTAAATTGAATTAAAATTGTATATACCCACATGTTATTAATTTTATTATGTTAATAGAATTTTCAGCGTTAACATGACATGATAATTTTACAACCTATTAACATTATAATATGCAAATTAAATTATATTTAAAAAAAGAATGAAAGGTTAGGTCTAATAGATTTAATCCAGCTCTGCCGTCAGTCAACCACAGAAGTACATAGGTAGTACGACCGATTAATCCAGACGAATTACATATACGAGAAATAGATGTATTTTAAATTCGTGTATTTCCACAGGTATTTTCTCTATTGGCTTTAGTTGTTACAAATATCAAAGTTGTATATTTATATGGCTGCATTCGAATCGCGTGCCAAAAAAGAGCGATGTTGGTCGGCAACCGAATTAAGTGTGTGGTTTTTTTTTCGACAGTGCCGAATTTGTGTGCGCATATTGTTCGTGACCGTTTCGAACTGTGTGTGTAAAAGTTTGAGCAACCGACCGGTTTTCAAGACCGTGCGAGCATGCAGTATTCCAGGGATGAGAAACTGAAAGTTACAAGCGTTCCAATTTTTATAAATATAAGATCTAGTGGGCCAGAGCACACACAACATATTAAATGCAAAAATGGGAAACTGATAAAACATAGTAAAAGTGGACATTTGTCAAAATGTTATTTTTTCTTGAAGCATGTATGACAATTTTTTTAGTAGGTACATAAAAATGGATTTATTTGCAGCTTCTTTATTCCCAATTAAAGTCATACATCTCGCTTTTCAATTTCTACTACCCTAAGACTTTTGTACTGATATATTATTTACGAGCGTCGTAATAATTTGTAAATACAGATTATTGATTAACGTTAAAATTGTATGAAGTAATAAATAAAAAAGGTACGTGGCTGCCAGTTGCTCCCGTCGCTATCGGTGTAAATATATATTATAGTAAATTCATTAAACATACTAAGTTAGTACTAACTATAGGCATGGGTTTTCTCCGGGGAATAGAAATAGATTAGTGAATGGCAGTTAGATATTTAGATATGATTATAACTTGATAAGTGGGTACGCAACGATCTATATAAAATTGAATTATTTATGCACTTCAGTATATAAATCTGATCAGATTTTCTAAAAATTTAATATGTCACTCGTATTTACGCCAACCAGCTCTGTCGCCAAAAAAGCACTCACACATTTTGGCTTAAATAATGATTTTTGCACTTAATTTGGAAACACCAGTGCAATATATTATGTACTAAATATACACTCTTAAGATTTCAAAATGGCTATATTACGGTATCATCACAAAATTCTAAAAAAATTACCTGACCGTCACTGGAACCGGTGTAGAACTCAGTGCTGGTCTTGGAATGGATCCAGTGAAGACTTCGGACTGGATCTCGGTGACCATCTCTTATATTGCTGATGGCCACGTTGCTTGAGCTCTTGCGGATGTCCCAAAACGCGACCTGGCCACTCATCAGACCACCAGCCAGGCACTGTGCGTCCCTGTGGTTGAACTCGAGAGTCACAATCGGATGAGGCGACTCGATTGTGAAGTAAGGAGCGGTGGAGTCCTCTAAAAGAGAGGGGTACGAAATATTCAAACCGTTTGACTAAAAAAACCACTACGCGTTATTAAATAAGAGTTGTGTTTGAAACGGTTTCTCTGCGCGCTCACCTAAGTCAAATATGAATGAGTCGGAACTGGTGTCGGGGTCGGTCATCTGAAACCTCATGTCAGCATAGCTTACCGCAACCAATGTGCCCTGGTCGGGCGACCAAGATATATTTTGTACCGGTCTGGTCGGTTCACGGGGATCCGACATCACCGCCACAGTTCGGAACGACGGTGCCAACGTTTGCATCTTCTGACAGCTTGGGTCGGTAAAGTATGGTTGGTAAATGTCAATCGAATTGTTTTGATTTATATAGTGTTCGGCGAGCTGAAAAGAACAACCATAATATATTATAATAAATCATAATAGGATGATGACATGAAACGCTCATGCTGAATCATAAGGAGCAATATCATGCAATTTAAATCTTTTGTAATGGTAGTATACATCAATCATAGCATATATATAAATATATAATAATATAATTAATAATAAAAACAACATTTAAAAATGGTACTATCATTACACCGTTATTAACTATTAGCCATTTTCTTGGATGGCGGGGGGGGGGGGATTAAAATATTATTTTTTTTTTGAAAACAGTCAAATATTATTTTTTCATTGAAAACAGTCAAAACTGCACTCCAAACGTAAACTACTGTTTAGGAAAAAGGATTTCACTGTATGTAACCACTAACCATGTTTAAAAAAAGAATGTGTTACTTCTATGACCATGTGAACTATTAAGGTGACTTCACTGTGCTCCGTGAATCGCTATTTTCTGAGAAAAAATTATCAGTGGACACCCAAAACTACATTTTTTTTCATTTTTATGGTGTAGTTGTGGATATAATGCTGATTGGTAACTGGTGTCTGGTTATCACAATGACCCAATCACCTATCAGTTCAAATTTATATTTACACAGTAACCACATTATTTAAAACATTTGACTTGGGTAGGATTGGATTCTACTTTCTTGTATCTGCAATATAACATAGTATTTACTTATAATTTATAAACATTGTGCTTAACCGTGAGGTAAGTAGGTAACCACAAGATTCAGCCAATCATAGCTCTGATTTTTTCCCGAAAATAACGCAACTCACAGCAGTGTGAAGACGCCCTAACCTAAATGTACAAACATTATCTGTGTTTGTAAGTAGAGATTTTTCAAAAAACTTAAATTTTCAATCTAGTTTTAAGTTTGTCAAATATTACGATATAACTCGTTTAAAAATGAAATATTTAAGAAATTAGAAAACCAAAGCAAATAATTTACCATAAAATAATTTACTCTAATATTAAAGTTAACAACACAAAATTGGTTTTGCAGGACGTACTTAGATTGTCAATGTTATAGTGAGTGTCGCGTTTGCTAAAACGTGTAATATGACCCACGGCATAGCTGTACCTAAATTGCCTATCCATAACGCCGTGTAACTATAATTATAATATCGAAATTTGAAAGTAATATTTCAAATAGATTTATAGTACACAGCACGGTTGATTATAGATAATAATGTATACTATTATATTATATTAAAATCTACTGTGGTATACGCAGCATGCGAGTCTTATTAAAAAACTAATTTGAACTAATAATTGTTATTAGGTAGGTACTATTGTCGGAACATTGGATCTTATTGCTACCTACAATATGGGATATTATACTTAATTATAGATTAATTATTCACAAAAATCTACACTCACGCTAGACATTTGCATAACCGCTTGTAAATACGTTTCGTCCTTTTCCGCCTTCTTCCGGAACCTGACCACTTGTTCCGGATCGTCCAGATTTATGTCTTTGGGCCAACCACCTTCTGTGTGGAAAATCCCGCGTTCGGCATATTCCACGCGCACGGTATTTGCCTACATAACAATATACGGTAAAAAATTAAGTCCGACAATGGCGGTCCCCATATCGTTTTTCTGGACGGTATAATGTAGTGTTGTACGTATAGATGTTAGTTATATAAATACTCTATACACAGTATACCTACAGTGTTGTGTGCGGTATATCGATGTAATTTTATATGCTACACGTCTACGCTTAATGTAATTTTATACTGTAAGGTGCACCAGTTGTGTTAAAAACTTTGTCTCTTTTGTGCCGCTGTCGAATGCACCAAACCCGTCTATTGCACACGAGTGAATCATAATGAGATCTGCACCACTCTTCTCTAAATGTGAATGTTTATTATGATTTTCACTCCGATAACTATAAACTATTAGATGCACTATAATATTTTGTTTTAATGCTATAAAATTAACCTAACCATGTATGGTTGTATTCTTGTGAATTTCGATAGAAAGTATTTTGTTGATACTTTAAATGATATAAAGGAAAAGATATATTGGCCGTATTTATGGCTGCGTTGTTTATATTGATAAATGATAACATTATTTATAACCGTATTTTGTAGTATTCTTCCGTATTACGCTTTCGAACCGTTTCCTCTAAACATAGTCATTAAACTGTCTCATAATGTGGTCATAGCAATATATTATATATTCTTCTGTTAATCTCGTTATATATATAATAATATATATATTAAGTCTCACGTCCTACACACTGGTACACGGGTCGTATAAATTATGCAGCAGTGGTTTACACTCATTGAAAAGAATAATATACATCGTGCGCAGACTGAACCTCGTACAATATAATTTATAATAGTAGGTTTAATAAAAAAAAATTTAAATAAGACGATTTTGAACTCTTTTTAAGCCGTTGTGTGCTCTCCAAAATTTATGAAGTCGGGCTTGACGTAAATGTATTATTTAAAGATTACAAAGTCAAAATCGTTATGAATTTCTGCCTGAAAAATAATTTGCAAAATGTTCGGGATTTTCACGAATTTTGTCAACATTTTTACTTTAAAATTAATGCATTTAAAAAATAATGTGCTTATTTATCTATAATATTTTTTAACAGTTATCAAAAAAAAAATTACGAGAAATATCGCATTTATTTTTCAAGGTTTTTGCTCAGTGAGAAATTGTTTTTCGACAACAGTATAAAAACTTATACTAAGTTGGTAGGTTAAAGTGTCAACAGTTATTTGTTATTGGGTTACACCAATAAAATAAAATCTATTTTATATCAAAATTAATTAATTAAAAATAAATAGTATCATAAAATATAATTATAGCAATATAAAGGCTGACAAACAGTCTTTGCCCAGAATTTTGTCCGTTTTTCGTACACAATAATTTTATATTATTAAATTCAAACTTAACACATCCATCACAGTGACCTTTACGACACCTAATGTACAGAAAAGCGGTACCCATTTGCTCACCTTTTTTTAAATTCAATAAAAATATTTTGAAAATCTTATAGTGAGCATAAATACAGTTATAAAAAATGTCGAAGAACTACAATTGAAGATAGACCACATACCGATGTAGATACTTTAAAAAAAACGTATTTTCAATTTTAAGTTTTGGATGGTTACAACTAATTTTGACCTTTCAATTTATGACGACAATGTAATAATATCATGTTAAAAACAATAATAAGGTATCATTAAAATTACTTCGTGCTCCGACCAATCGTTGCCTTTATTGGTGCTTTTGTCCACTGGGTCCTCTGGAGACCATAGTTGTTCTTCCGTGCCTGGTTCTGGCGTCACGTTGGCCAACACCGTTGGGCCGGATTTAACGAACGAGCATTGTCGGCCATACTCGCGCCTAAGCTTACTATACGTGTAGTTTGCATTCATTTCCCGACAGTTGTGTCATAAGAAAATGATTATATTATACTTTATAGGTTTAAGATGTAATTAGACCAAGACTTTGAATATTTTTTAAAATCAGTTTCGGAATATTTACTAACGAACAATTATAAAAAAAATGTATTTAATAAACACTCTTATAAATCATAAAAATTCACAAATATCATAAGAAAACAAGCACGTTAAATTGTTGTTAATGGTTTAAAAAAAAATTTATAAGTAGTATAATACATATAACAAAATGCAAAATACGATTTTGTATATACGATACACCTACCACGCGTGGCTCACTATAGCTGTAGTGAAATAATAATTATGTTAATCAAAATTTTATCGAAATTGATTCTTTTTACTTAAGACATATAAATATTGCAAATGCGTTAAATTCACAGTCCTGAAGGCTGAAAGTCATTAAAACTAAAATTAATGATCAAAACCTACATAAAAAACAATCTCTAGAAATAGAAATGATGACTTTGTGACGATTTACATAGCTCTAAGCTAGAACACTCACACATAAGTGTGCGCGCGTGTGAGTGTATAGACGGTCGCCCGTAGTTACAATAGTTCATTATTATAACTATATGGGTACGTTATAGATTTAACATTCTCGATGTTACGTAAAGCCAACACGCGACGTTTTAATCATTGTCATTCAAGATTTAACCGTATTGACGATTAATGGTAAGAATACGTATAATATATTATATTGTGATATAGCCGTTTCGACCACGAAGGTTTTTGCCAAAATCTAAATTAATGAACTGTTAATTAAAATATTGCACAGTGGAGTATAGGACTCTCTACTTGTTATGAATTTATCGAGACTAATATATTATCTTATGCGTACATTGGGTTAGGCATTTCCCGGTTTGCGGTAATGCTCGGAACTGACCGAAAATATCAAAAAATGAACGGTAATCGATTACTATTTGTTAATCATTATTACGTTATTTCTTGCTGTATTTAAATTGGATATTACAATTTTTGATCAAAATATTAATTTTATTCTTAATTAACTATTATGGGTGAAAAACAAAATGATTTGTAATTTTCTAGTATCATTGTCTAATAACAATACAAATATTAAATAATAAATAAATTACATTGTGGAATCAAATAATGGAATATGTATAATGGTGTAAGTAAACCAGTGTACTTAAGATATTAATATTTAATATTTATTAAAACGGGAGATGAGACGAAAATTCTTAGTTAATTATTGATAACTGGTAAATTATAACATCCACGTGTTGCATATAGCAGTGGTTTTTAATTAAAATTTATAAACTGCAGTCACTACTTCCCTCTAGAACACCACTTGCCCAAGTATTAAAACTTAAATAACAGTTTGAACACTTAATGCAAATTAAAAATTTAACTTTTAAAATATTTACATAAATTAACTAATAAGTCTCAGAATACTATTAATAAATACAATAGTTTTAAGCCTATTGCACAAGTCTGCTTTTTTTTCACTGCAGGCACCTCAAGACATTTCAATTACACAATTTGTTTACTTATCCCTTATTTGAGGTGCCTGAGTGGCAAAAACCGCAAGCGTACTCTGGCCCGACCGAGCCTTAGTTTATTCATTTTGAGTTCAGGTACCAACAAATAATATATATTTTAATAATTGTAGAATAGTATTATTTAAAATTTAAATTTGTAAAATATTAAATAGAAAAAACAGTTTTTGGTGGGGATAAAATATAGGGTTAAGTCTTCATATAATATACTCCAGGTTCGTGGACAAACAAGTATTTTCATCAAATGTCATTTACGTTTTTAGTTTCCTTCACTTATTAACCATTATACGCGATTTAATAACTTAAAAGTTCAAGTTACATAATATTATATTATTATAAACCAACGATTTTTTCAAATCATTTTTCAACAAGTCATTGGTTAATAATATCGTTAATGTCGAATATTGTTAGCTGTGAAATAGAAACCAAAGCATTTAAATGATGTACAAGTCAATCTGTTGTAACGACGGTTCTAAAGTAAATTATTTATACTAGCCAGTATTGAAAAATATCAACATTCGAGTAATTAGATAATATAGGTTCATACTTACCAATATTAAAAACATTGATATTTATGTAACAGAGTGGCTCAAAGTATTTTAGGTGAAGCTATTAATTGTCAGTTAAAAACATAGATGATATAATAATGAAAAGTCTATGCTTTACACGAGCATTAATTGAACACTTATTTGAGATTACACATTTAAAATGTACATACATAATAATATAGTTTGAATTTAAGCTGAGTCTGTCTTCCTCTCTTATATGCAAAAGACCACTACCCACTGCAGCGTTGCGAGCATTAACATGGCTTATCCACTCTTATATTAATAATGGTTAAACAATTAAAAAGCTTGAAAATGTGGTAATATAAGGTTCCTCAAAAGTTGTTTTTACTGCTATTAAATATTATCAAATATGTTCAGTCACAATTTTTTTTATGCCATTTGAAGTTCAAATGTTAATGAAATGAGATATTTACGATTTATACTCAAACGATTTTTGTTATTTGACTCATTTTAATCCTAGAGACATACACATTAATTTTAACTATAATTTTACTTTATATACGTGATTTTTCTTTCCTTTTTATTTGGTCTTGTTAATATCAATTACAATATATATCAATTTAAATTGTAATGTAATATTATGATATTTTATTACTGCAATAATAATTGGAATGTAATTTAATAATATAATGTGCAGTTAAGCCTCTGTTATCTGTATAATTTTATCTGTATTATCTGTATTAACTGTCGAGCTCTTATAGTTTTTTACTAAAAGATAATAAAAAAAATATAATTATTATATAATGTGCAATGTTTTTGGACAAAAAAATTCAATATACTTTTTACTATCATCTGTATTCAATGGTATTATAAACAGAAAAATAAATTATCTACAATAGGTAATATAAATAATAAATATGTATTATGAAATTTTCTTAAAAATAATTACTGACATAACGTTACTGCCTAAAGCAACGTTTTTCGCAAGCAATGGTTTATCATTGAATATGGATGGTCCATATTATTGTTCATATATCCATGATATGGATATAACATATCCATTAGCTTGCTCAATAATTAGGTGGGCACAACAATTGAGTAAATATATAAACACTCAATGGTACAACACACATTTGCATATTTTATTATATTATAATCATATTATTTAATATTTATTACGCGATGCAAGTCTGTTCATATAGTTCATAGGCGAATGAAAATGTTGTCGAGCAAATCGTCTAGAGCTCTTCAGGAACGCGTCTCCCTCGCTCTGCACATTTTCCGTGCAGTACAAAGGGGTGGGCAGGTGGTTCCTCCTTCATTATGTTTTCAATTGTTTGAAGGTTGTTGATCCATTTAAGTATGTTATGTTTTGACTCAGAAGTTGGGATAGTTCCAAGGCATCCAATATTAAAGTGACGTCAGAACTCTCAAACTTTTAATGAATTATGCGTCATATGAAAACACATAATGTTCAACACCCCACTGAGCCATGGACCATGGTGCACACTATAACGCATATCCTGACGCCACTTAAGGTAGACGAGGTCCTACGTCCCCACTCAATCTACCTGCTTAGCGACTATCATTTCCAAACATGTCAGGGTCCTTATGTATTATAGAGGAGTATCGCGTACGTAAGTTCATGAGTAAGGTATAGTTATGCTTACTAACTATAGTTACCTAATATAAATATAAACATATATTATATTACAATACAATAATATTAAAAATAAATATTCATGTAAAGATCAACATACATTTATTATTTCAACTATAATTATATCAAAAAAAAAAAAAATAGCAGTTTGAGAGTTCTGCTATAGTGAACACGAGTGTTATGCGGACCCGAGCAAACCCCGCGACCTAACTCATTAACCGCCAATTTGAGCTGTGTGAAAAACTGAATTAATACGACGAAATCTATATTATGCTCTTATCCGAAATGACCGGGTCAGAAAAAAATAGAAGGCGATTACAGTGTATGCAAATACCAAACCGTCAAGGGTATCTCTAGGACCATAGACTAGGCCTAAAGAGGTATAAAAAAACAATACAAATAAATGGAAACGCGATTATTCAGAAACGCAAAACCTACTTGATCAAATTACACATATCGGGGGGGG